TCCTGGGGTAAACCTGGGTCCGTTTGCCTGACCAAGCAAAACCATAGGTCTTTGACAAAACCATGATGTTTGGTCTCTGAAACCATATCCTGTCTCCTTGATTTCTGATGAGAGTGATTGACATGATTATTAACTAACCAGAGAAACGCATGATCTATTCATGTCAAAACAGGCCTATATAACAGCTAATTGGGCTACAAGTTTACAAAGCTAAATAACAATAATAATAGTATTGTTTGACACACTTCATGGTCTGATTCCTAGAAACTGGAGCACCAGGACAAAACTTACACAGACGCTATACAGGGAGATCTTCTTGTTGTGAGGTAGAAAGCATTCTGTAAACATGGGGCAGCCAGCTGTCTTGTGAGCTCATGTACTATTTTATTTCACGTTATCTTGATGCACTTCAGCTTAAAGGTCTTTGACTCTTGTGATCTTTAAGACGTGTGAGAATGCTGTTACCTCATCAAAAACATACTTGGAGTTGTGTTTTGTTTCATTCACACGTGTCTGAGTAATCCTTTATTATTAGTCTGTCGACATCTCCAAAGTTCTAAATACTTTGTTCCACCTTGTGATGTCACGAAGTGGTATTTTTCAAGTTAGCGTCTACCTTTTACCTTTTGTTTAGTAGAGATTGTCTGGGGGCTGAAATCCTCCAAATCATTCTAGTGAAAGTGTATGGAGTTTAAAAACATGGTGGAGCACTTCCTGTATTACCACATGACATCACAAGGTGGAACAGAGTATTTTCAGTTCGAGGGAAGAACTCCTGAATGTGCAACATTTGTGTGCAAAAAGATGTGTGAATGAAACAAAACACACTTCTAGGTGTGATTTTGACAAGGAAACAACATCATAACAGATCGGAAAGTAACATAAGATCGGCTCTTTAAAGTCTAGTCTAGCAATAAGCACAATAATCCTTAGGCACATTAAAATGACCTTCAGTGTGATCTCAGTCTGTACATTATGTAACTGAGAGCAGCTGGGACGCACCCCACCCCATCCCAGCCCTCTCACCCAGTCTGCCCCAGCTCCCCGTCACCCCCCTGATCGCCCTCACCCCCCTCACCCCCCTCACCCCCCCACCTGCTCACCCACTCAGCTCTGGTTCTGTGGGACAATAGGAATGTACACAAACAAACACCGCAACAGCTCAGACAACTGTACTGTACTGTATAAAAGTCTTAGGTATCTCTACTTTACTTCAGTACAGTTTGGAGCGGATACTTTTTACTTTGACATTTGAGAGCAACCATGTGTACTCTGCTCCTCTACTACATTTTTGAACAAGACTGAAAAGTTTTTTTATTATTGTTTGAAAGCTACTGAAAAGACTTAATCAAGTTCATAATTTGATCAAACAAAACATACAAAGAAAAATTGTTGGAAAAATATTGATTTAAATTGTTTCTGTTGAACAAAATTCAGCGCAAATCTTTATCAAAATCTATTCATTTGAAGCTTTATTAGATCTCAAATACTTTCAGTTAGGTAGCTTTTTCACTTGATTATTTTTTGCTTTGGGGTCTGTACTTTTACTTAAAGGTGCACTGTGTAACTTTTTTGGTGGAGTGTCTGTCAAATGCTTGTCTTAATGGAGATGTTATTGCTTGGAATGTTTCACAGTATGGCATTAAATCTTTCTATCTTCATGGAGATCAAACCAGACCAAATTACAAGTCAGATCTGTGGAGTTGCACATTCAGAATACCTGTTTTTCTATATATTTTTTACCTATAAAGACACCTGTAATTGAATAAATGTAAGCTAGAGCTGTTTAATGTCATACTGCGGAAAATTCCAGGCCCAGCAATTGCATCTCCATAGAAACAAGCAGGTGACGGACCCCTAACCAAAAAGTTACACAGTGCACATTTAAGTAACAAAAATCAAGTACTTCTTCCACCACTGCTAGATGATTAATCTGCCAAGTACTAACTTCTCAGCAGCTTTTTTCTTTTTGATATTCATTGTCTTTTATTGAAATTTTTAAGGCAATTTGTGGCATTTCAAACAATACTTTTTACTATTCTTTGAACTGTGTGAAAGATCTAAAAACTGACCTTCATCGACCCATGTCAAAGTGCCTGGACAGTGATGAGTCAGTCTGAAATAGCCCTGAGTCACACAGGAGCGCTCTGTGGAAAGAGGAGGGCCTTCACTGATGATGGAAGAGATTGTTTCTTCTGGGAAAGACAAATATGCTCATTTTCAAAAGGACAGGGTTAGACTTTTTCCCTTACGTGAACAGCAGACAAAGAAGTGTTAGCCAGCAAGGATTAAAATAATAATTTGATTCCACCACACACCAAACGACTCTTATGAGTTTTAAGCCATGTTATAATGTTGTAAGATCCTCAAATACATACCTGGAGTAGGGTTTTGTTTCATTCACACATTTGAGTAACTCTTTAATTATTTGTCTGTCTACATCTCCAAAACTCAATGCTCTGTTCCACCTCGTGATGTCATGAAGTGGTAGTTTTCAAGTTAACAGCTCCTTTTAACTTTTGTTCAGTAGAGTTTGACGATTCCAGAGCTGAAATTATGCAGAGTGTGAATCGTTTAAGAGAATGATTTGAACAATATCAAATGATTTAACCTTATTACACTATTTTCCGATCAATGGTATAATGTTGTTTTCTCATCACAAACCCACCTGGAGTTGTGTTTTGTTTCATTCACTCATGTTTAACACACAAACCCTCAATAATTTAGTTCTTCTCTCAAATAAAAAACACTGTGTTACACTCTGTGATGTCATGTGGTGATACAGGAAGTGCTCCACTGTGTTTTTAAACTCCATACACCTTCACTAGAATCATTTAGATGATTTTAGCCATGAAGAGAAGACAAGAGAAGAGAAGGTAGACAGAGGTAAGAGGTAAGAGGAAGATAAGAGAGGTAAAGAGGTAAAGGTAAAAAGGTAGCTGATCATTTAAAAACTACCACACCATGATATCACAAGGTGGAACAGAGCCTTTTGAGCTTTGGAGATGTAGATAGACTACCAGTAATAATAAAGGATTACCGGTACTCAAACTCAAAAATGTGTGCATCAAACAAAATGTTTCAAAATTAAATGATACCTATGTGAAGAGGAAAACCATTATAACAGATCAGAAAATAGCGTAATATGGGCTCTTTAGGTAACATTACTCTTACATGATCACAAACTTTGTCTACTCTAGAGCATGTCACAGGAAAAGTAACATAACATCACAGTACAGCCCTCTCTTTATCTGTATGAATCAAATCTAACGCTGTATTTCCAGTGCATTTGCTTAGAGTCGTGTGGAGCTGGTACATTCAGTCCCTATAAAGGCTTTAACACCAGCTCTGAGAGAGAGAGACAGAGCGTAATCACCACCACAGCAGCCCTCTGGATATTCTTAGCACAAAACCCTGTCACCGCTAAGACCTGGTGCACACGGGCCTTTTGTGTCCACATTCACACACATTCTTTCCATCACACATTCTGCTCTTAACTTACACTCACAGATAAGCTAATCAGCATTTAACCGCTAGCCAACTGAGTAGCACCTTATGATATCTATAGGCTATTTACGACCTTAATAAATTATGAAGTAAGGGTTAATTCATACTGAGCACATGGTTTGTTAAAGGGCCCACGTTACACAGTTTTCTGATCTGTGCTATAATGGTGGAGTTATACCTGGAGTTGTGTTTTGTTTCATTCAAACATATTTAACACACAAATCCTGCATATTAAGGCCGAGTTCTTCTCTCAAAACAAACAAATAAAAATACCTGTGTTCCACCTCGTGATGTAATGTGGTAAAACAGGAAGTGCTCCACTGTGTTTTAAACTCCCTAGATCTTCACTAGAATCATTTGGACAACTTCAGACCTGGAATTGTTTATCTCCACTGAACAAAATGTAAAAAGTACTACAGTTTCATGACATCACACACTAATAAAAAAAGATTACTCAAACATGTGTGAATGAAACAAAACACAACTCCAGGTTTGAGGTAACAACATTTAAACATGGCTTGAATCTCAGAAGAGTAAATTTTGTGTAATATGGGACCTTTACGTCACATTTTATTACTGTGTTAATGCAAGAGATCTTTAAAGTCAAACTCCGTTAAATAATTAAAAATAAAGGCTTTCCACATTAGACACATCTAAACTGTTTTGTTTGCCAGCCCCACACTGCCAGCTTAGTCCTTGTTATTTATTTATTTACTTATTTAAATGTATTTAATGAGACAGGGACAATGCACAATTTACACTAACCTTAACAGGACAGATGCATTGTACTAGGTTGTAGTACCAGTGTTAATTTCCACCTGTAGTCCCTGGGCAAGTTCATTGATTGATTGTATTTAATGGACCTTAGATATCAGCTGTTATCTTGGTTTATATCATCAGAGATACGTATAATACTCCCTACAACAGAAGCATAGTCAGATAATTAGACTGAACAGGACTAGACTGGACAATACTATTACAATGTCCTGAGGGCTCATATCTCTGGGTGCTAATAATAATAATAATGTAAAGCAGACCTTTTCTATTACATTAGTTCAGACCAGCAGATGGAACTTATTAAACGTATGTGCCACTTCATTATTACTAGAAACATACTGATTTATTTTTCATTTAATTCCATTCCCCACTGAGCAAAACTCTATAAGACAAATTTCTGAAGCCCTCAGACTTAAAATGAAGAAAACATTGAGGTTATAATTAAGTTGGATATGTTACTTTGAAAACATGGTCTCTCATTTCAGCAAAATTATGTAAAGTCAATACGAACTGAAAACGAGAGTCTGAAAAGCAATCAATACTCTATTTGTAGTCCATTTCAGGAACAAAAGAAGTTAGTGCAGTGTACATACACAGAGCCACAGTGATTAAATCTGAAGTGGTTTATTTTGAGGTGTGTGTGAGAGAGAGGACAACTGCTACCCCCTCCCGTCTCTGTTCCTATCTCTCTTCTGAGGCCTGCTTCTCTAACCTCCAGCCCCCAACACAATCTTTCCAACCAAAATATAAATATAGCTCCGTTAGCCTTTTCCAATGAGCTCACGTGAGTACCTCCAAACCGGTGGATATATAAGGACTGGTCTGTGATTGGAAGAACAGTACAGCATCCTCACTCACCATTCAAAACAGGTCATAACTATCCACAGATTTGTTTGACAGAGTTTCGTGGAGCAGGCAGGAGAAGAAAACAGAGTTTGCCTCTCTCTCCTCCATGAGTGTGGAGAATTCTTCAGTGTACAGATCGGAGCGTAGTTTTCACCAGACCTCTTCTTCTTCTTCTGCTTCTGGGGGCCCGGGCATGGACAAGAACCGGGGGCTGTTTGCGGAGGACTTTGGCTCCTTCATGAGGCCTGGGAGCGACGCCTTCTCTGGTAAGTAAAAACAGAAGAGTGAAGGAGGTGAAGGGCTATTATTTCATCTCTGGAATGTTTCACAGTATGGCATTAAACCTTTCTATCTTCATGGAGACCAAACCAGACCAAGTTACAGGTCAAATCTGTGGAGAGGTAACACTGCTCACAGTCAGTTTTTCTAGGTATATTTGAGCCATAAAACCACCTATAACTGAATATTTTTAAGGTGGAGCTGTTTAATGTCACACTGTGGAACATTCCAAGCAGAGCAATGACATCTCTACAGAAACAAGCAGGTGACTGGGCCCCAACCAAAAATGTTTCATTGTGCACCTTTAATTAAAATATATAGGCATCTGTACTTTACTTAATTACATTTTTAAGCGGATACTTTTTACTTTTACTTCACTACATTTGAGAGGGTTGAGGACACTGGTGGTTATGTAACTTTTCCTGAGGAGTGTCTGTCACGTGCTTTTCTCCATGGAAATGTCATTGCTTTGCTCAGAATGTTCCACGTTATAGCGTTAAGCATCATCAAACTAACAACCAGACCACCTCTCCAAGTCAGCTCTATGGAGAGGTGAGCCCAATTACTGAAAGAATGGATATGGAGGCAGATGGAGGATAGCTGTTAGAAAAGTCACAGAGTGGACTTTAATGTAAGCTTGGGTTGTTCACGTGTCCATTGTCACGAAATGACCTTGACTTATTTTTGGAATGAAATGAAGACGAAATGAATATAATAATGTCTGGACACTAGAGTTATTATCCAATTATTATAAAATTGGTCCGAGAACACAAAGCTTTCAAAAACTCAAAGTCAGAGTTATCTTCAAAATGTCAAAGCCATATTCCTGTTTTGAGCAAAAAAACATGATACGAGAAGCTGCATGGATTTTCTCTTTGGCAACGCGGTGGGTCATTTGGTTTATATATCCTACTATTATCGTCAGGATTTTGTAACACAAAGTCCCAGAGCTACCAGATATTATGGCAAGATAAAAAATAAGACATCCCAGTTCCTCCAAACTCACAGACTATTATCATCACAATAAGTGGTGGAAGAAGTACTCAATTTTGTTATTTAAGTAAAGCCAAAAAATACTTAAGTAAAAGTATCACATGAAAAAATCTACTGAAGTGAAGAATACTGAAGTACCTGTTTAAAAAACGTACTTAAAGAGTAACAAGTGAAAGTATTTCGAAATTTAATAAAGCTTCACATGTAGTGATTTTGATAAAGATTTGCGCAGAATTTTGTTCAACAGAAAAGGAAAATTTAATCAATTGTTTCTTTCCTACCTGCTTTTATTTTTGTGTATTTGTGTTTGCTCAAATTATGAAGATATTAAACCCTCAGCTTTTTCTGCAGGTCTCAAGCTATAATAAAAAATATTTCAGTCCTCTTTGAAAACGTAAGCACAAATACAGATATCTGCTCTCAAATATAGTGAAGTAAAAATAAAACGTATTCACTCTAAAATCTACTTAAGTAAAATACAGATACCTAAATGTATACTTAAGCACAGTACTTTAATACTTTTACTTTGTCACGTTCCACCGCTGACTGTCCATTATGATAATGAGTGTCAGGAGGGTTGTATTTGGTGTCACTGAGCTGTAGGATTGTGTACAGAGGTCACACAGCAGGTCAGGTGTCATGGCCGCTGCATAGACACTAAATGGTCTTTACTCCTGAGTTTAGACCTGGGTCAGAGCTGGTTAAGCTGATTAAGTTTTTCTTTTTGTTTCAAGGAGACGTGTTGTGTTGTATATATGAAAGTGCAGATTGTAATGTATCCTAGCCCACAGAGACATTAAATTACAATACAATACAGTACAATACAAATAAGAGTCAACTAATTCTGTAATATATATTATGTTGTGACGATTTTAAACTCTCACTATTGTTCCATGGAAAATCTGCCATCTCGGTACGCAATAATCAACACAAAATCAGACTGAGGTTCAGACCTATCTAAAATGTATTGCTCTGAGACTAAAAAGTGTATGAATGCTTTGAATTTTGCAAATCATATGGCTGCTTCCTTGAGGGCTAATGACAATAATGACCTATAATGATTTATTTTTCCTCTGGATGCCCTGCCTTTTGTAAACACTAATGTGGGTAATATAGGGTCAAAATGACTTCATGCACAGAAGAAAGAAATAAGTTAGAAAATTAGAAAGATAGTTAGAAAGAAAGATAAAAAGATATAGATTTGGATATATAGATAATTTATTGATCCCAAAGCAAATTCAACGTTCAGCAGCTGCTACATAGAAACGAACATAGCAACACAGAAGAAAAGGGGAAAGGGACTATTGCTTGCCTAACCACACCACTCACATCTTATTTAGAAACAGACTGCGACCTTCTCCATCCTGAACTTTTGAGACACGAAAACTTTAAATGTGCGCACACGTACAGTCCGTAAGAGTGAAGCGAGGAGTCAGGGGTGGGGGTCCCATAGGTGCTGTTCAACCCAGATACAGAGACAGACTGGAATGAAGGTCTGCTGCCAGCACCCTGAGCTCACTCTCCTAATACTGAGATGACGGACGCATGAGGAATGACCACGGGGTTGCCTAGTTACGGGGAACAACAGAGCCGCACTCACACACCTTCGGATGATGTCAGTTATTATATTAGAGAGACGCAGAGGAGGTCAGAGCTGCATGAATTTTACAATCTGTGGTGGCCTCTGTTATTACAGTATAATTTTATCACACAAATCAACATGTCAGCGATGAATTGTTCTCATAAACAACCTCAACGAAATTTAGCACCAGACTCTTATTTCAGGCAGTCATTTTCAGAGGCTATTTTACTGTCAAGAGTTTGTAAATAATCACAGTCTCTATTCTTCGACAAGGTTACTCATTTATTATTTAGCTCCATCTTATATTAAAGTAGTAGAGCTTTGCGTGGAATTTGGTTTCTTACATGTAATTTTATTATTACAGTGCACATTCATATTGGCATATAAGCTTTAAAACCTGAAAGCTATAGTAAAGTTCCCTTCATTTTAAGGCTGATCTTACCATTTATAATATCAGAGCATTAGGAGAGGCTCCACAGAGCAGATATTTGAGACATATCTGAAAGGGATTGGATGAACTAGGGGCTTGTGTAATTTAATAAACCCATATGCGGCCGATTCATTCCATGGTCGTAATCAATCATATTTTCTGAGAGTGTGGAAAATCATACATGATACAGGCCAACAGGCTGAACAGGGCGGACTGTAGCTATGGGTTCATTTCCATCCATTGTCCCACTATAACCGTCACAGATGTACTCTCATCAGTGTGCTTCAACACTGGGTGCACGGTGAGTAAATTGTCTTGCCTAAAGACATAATGACAGTATGTACAGAACCACTGCCCCTCCATGGCAACTGGTATTCCCAGCAGTCTCCCATCCCAATAAGTGGAGTGTGCAATATTCAATTTTTTGGCCCTATTATGACACTAGCCCTTTGGGACAATGAATGGAAATTACTCTTTGGCTGCAATCCAGTGTGTTTACATTCAGGTCTGTAACATGTCTGTCCATGAACATGCACCCAACCCCTAAGAAAAAAAAATCCCAGCAGTACTAACCAGGACAATCCTTGCTTTGCATCTGAGATTAGATGAGATCAGTCATTCTCAAGGTCATAATAATATATCAGTCTTACATGGAAAGATGGTTGTGTGTCTTGCCTGTGGGCACAAGGGCAGTCTGCAATACCAAGATTGGAGATTTCACAAGCTGCTCACCAGCTAAAAGTTAAACAGCTGATCTTTTCCTTGTCTGCAGGTGGTGCTGGAAACATCAAGACTCTGGGAGACTCATACCAGTTCACTGTGGACGTGCGGGACTTCTCCCCAGAGGACGTCATCGTGACCACGTCCAATAACCAGATCGAAGTGCGTGCAGAGAAGGTATAAGACTGTCTGTTTACCCTTCCCCTCCATCACAGCCTGGGATTAAACTAACCTGCTCCTCCTTTGACAGCTGGCCCAAGATGGCTCCGTCATGAACACTTTCACCCACAAGTGCCAGCTCCCTGAGGACGTGGACCCCACCTCAGTGACGTCATCGCTGGGGGCCGAGGGGACGCTCACTGTGAGGGCCCGGAGACAAACAGCCAAACATGAACACGCACAGACCTACCGCACAGAGATCAAGATATAAACACGGACTCATGATCCAATGTTATTTTGTACTGGTTGTTTTGTTTTGTCTCCTTCACGCTACTGAAGCCTGCAACACAGAGCCCCTGTCCCTTCCAGCACCATGATTCACACTCCTGCTCTGACGTGTGCAGGGTGGGAGCAGATCACTGGGTTTGTTTTGTACTTATTTATTTTTTTGAGCTGCATTGACTGAATTAAATATTCTCTCAAGTGCTGCTAATGCCTTTGTCCTACATAAAATCACTGAATCACTTTACATAGACACAAACTTTAGAATCAGATCTCCCTTCCTTTGACCTCACAGAGTCTGCATGTTCTTCCTGTGTCTGGGTTTACTGGGTTTACTGGGTTTAAGTCCCATAAAGTAGTTATTCCTGATCAAGGTTAAAGTAAACTTTGGAGTCTAGGCCTACCAACCCCCAAAAAAACCCACCTTCTGAGACATATAGAATATTCCTTATATCAATCTACGTTGCAATTGTTAAGTAAAATATGCCTACATAAACTTTGCCGTAAAACTGTATTCTTTATTTGTATTGAAAATGAGTCATTATTGGGTGTTTGCATGTATTATAATGATGCAGTTGTATGAATAAACATTTTCCTCTTTCTATGTGTTTCTTAAATTCACAACCTACATTTGCTCTACAATTCTAAGAGGTTATACATTCAGGCCTACCTTGGACCATGAAAGGTTGACTTGCTTCTAACTCTCTAAAATGAGGCTTAATTGTGGGTTAGTTCCCCCAGTCGATAAAGTGTGACCCCATGGTCCTGTATATCTCTGATTGTTAGCAAAAAATATGCTGTGCCCAGTGAATTAATTATCAATAAACTGCAAGTTGCAAATGGCTAATTCCAACATTTCAAATTAATAAAGCAAGTATAGTTCACACATAAGAATGACTAAGCATTTCCCTCAAGTTTTGTCATAAAATTAGTTTGCAAACAGCTTTCTTTCTGAATAAATCTATTTTCATTTGGTGTGTAGCGCCCCCTTATGCGTGATGGGTAAACTACAACAGTATGACACCGCATGCTGAATCTAAATGTTGACAGCAGGTGTCAGGATTGGATTTAGCATTGTCCAACACACTGTGTACAAGGGACTCCTTTACTTTTTTTTTTTTTTTAATATTCTGGTCACTCAAAGACTTATCTCTATGGTTCTTGTACTTGCGCTTCTGTAAAGTTTGTAGTTTGTATCACAGAACTATAAAAAATAAATAAATAAAGATACGGTCTATGGTGCACAATCTGCGACCCCGTGTTTGCGCATGCGCAGCCGACACGCCGCCTGGCCCCAATAATCGATCAGAGAGAGAAAGATGGCGCCGAGCTGAGCCAACGGAACAGGATCGATCACCGAAAAACTCGATTGAGTTGTTCCTCCAACAATATCAAACTTTCTGCGGTACTCGGCCGATTTAAACACAACGGAAAGGGGCAACAAGAAGAAGGTATGTTTTACTCTGTCTAACAAAATGGCGTTTTCAGGCAGCAGACGTGCAAATAGGGAAAGAACAACAGCGAGCTGCCTCCCGCCATCTTCCCCGCAGTCTGCTGCATGACAGGGCGCTAAATTAATCCCTGATAACCAACCTGCAAGGATGGAGGAATTGTAATCGATGTGGTGCACTGTCAAACCACCAAACTGTCAAAACAAACGCACAAATATCATTCACGCCGACTACATTTGCATTTATTTATCTTCGCGTACAGTAGAAGAGTCAAAGTCAAAAGCGCTGCATGCTAACAGCATCAGAGCTCTGGACAGGCTGTGTGATGATGACAGGCTTCATAATATCAAACAGGATGTTTATTATGGTGACATGTTCCTCTAGAAAACACAATCAGACAGAAGCACCATTTAAACTTATGTAATAGATCCACAGATTTAAAGAAAAATGACGAACCGTGTGTTTGTATTGAGCGATCCTGAAATTATGTTACCGAAGAACACGGTGTTTATTAAATTTTGCATTAATTAATTCATTACTATTTAAGTTGAACAGACAATTAATATCAATGTGTGTAACCTCCGTAAATGATTTAGTACTGCGGAAAAAGTTATGTTACAATTGAAATTGTCAAGACTGTGAGTAAACTTTGGGGGTTTAATCTTGATAGCCCAATAACAATTATTTGACTTATTTTGTGCAGCTCTATGTTCTGCCATCCCATTTATAATTTTCTTCTGTCTCATCAGAACTAGAGCAATGGAGTTCCCATGGCACTGTGGGAAGGTCCTGGAGCAGCTGAACCACCAGAGGAAGCAGGGCTTGCTGTGTGACTGTACTTTTGTGGTGGACGGGGTGGACTTTAAAGCTCACAAAGCTGTCCTAGCTGCCTGCAGCCTTTACTTCCGCACTCTCTTTGTGGAACAGAAGGATGTGGTGCATCTGGATATAAGTAATGCTGCAGGTGGGCTTGCAAATGGCAGATCTTTTTACTCAAATCCAATTTTCTATATTTATAACTGATATAATTTGTATTCTAACTGTATAAAATGTAGAAGTTGTTTGTTTGATTATTTTTAAGTTATATCAGAATTGGCATTACATTCAAGACTCGTTCTGTTGCTAAAAGATTTTGTTCACTTAGGTTTGGGCCTCGTCTTGGACTTCATGTATACATCCAAATTGAATCTAACCGTTAACACTGTAGTTGACGTTATGACTGTGGCAACCTTCCTAAAGATGCCTGAGATCGTAAACGCCTGCTCCGCTTATCAAACCATGGCCAACCCTGGTCCCACCATTGTCACTGTAGACGTACCAGGTAAGTTTGTTTGGCAGAATTTCCCCAGTGCTTTCACTGACCAATGATGGTTTATGTATTTGTATGTGTTTGTGATTGACAGAGGATAAAGGATTCAAAGTAGATCCAAATGTTCCTATGGAAAGTGACCTGGCTGCAGTGGCAGCACAGGTGGAAGAAAGCCAGTCACAAATACCCCCTGCAGAAGATAACAGTAGTGCTGCAGTTTCTACTCAGGAAGAAGTGCCACCTGAGACACAGCAGACACCGCACACAGACTCCCAGTCAAAACCAGCCTCCCCGGGTAAAACAAGGCCATCCAAAACTCCCCCAACTGTGACGAAGAAAAACACTGTTAAAAAGAATGTAGCAGCACAAGGCTTCAAAGATGACCCAACTGATGCTGACTACACACCCAGTGAGTAGAGGTTTGGTCAGCAGTTTAAGTCCTTCAGAAAGGAATAATGATTTGAAGATTTTTTTTTTTTTACCTTTTTGCAGAATCCCTCTTAAAATCTGAGCGTTCCTCCTATGTGAGTTCAAGAGGAAGGAGGATCAGAAAACCGCCTCAGAAGAACTACCCACCTGGTGCGTTAATGCTTTTTTGTGCTGTTTTTGTTTAGCTGCTAGACAAGATGCAGCTTCTTGTCTCATGTTAAAAAGTTAAACATAAAGCTACCACGTACAAGTTTATCGGATTCTTTTTAGTAGATGACAGATGTGAAACCTGTTCCCCCCTTCCCTCACCTGGCCTTTGTTCAGGCTCACCTGTGCTCTCTGGTTTTCTTCTGTCAGGCAGGCACATTGTCAGACAGCAGTAACGTAGATAGCACCTGGTGATATGTGAGAATACAACAGGACCGGGTCAGCCAGTCTAATTACAGATAGTAGTTAAGTCATATCCACTTTTATCCATAAGATTTTGGCTCAAAATCTACATTTATGACTGAATAGGTAAAATGACTATGTAAAAAAGGTGATACATAGAATTTTTATGTTTTCTGTATGACAGACAATGACTCAGAGGAAGATGTCCAGCCTAAAGAAGCTGATCTGAAGGACACCGTGACAGAGGAATCACAAGCCAAGACTGACCATAACAGTGAAGAGGCTGCGGAGGAGGAGACGGAGGAGACGGAGGAGACAGAGGAGAGTGAGGGGAGCGGGCAGGACGATGAAGGAGAGAGTGATGGAGACTCCAGAACAAACCCGTACAGGCCTAAGAGCGGCAGGGCAGAGACCAAACAATACAGTTCAATAACTCACAAGTGTGAGGTGAGCTGCTGGGTATAGTATTATACTGTGCATGTAGTCTGTACCCTCACATGGATCTCCATGTGTTTCTAGGACTGTGGGAAGGTATTCACTCACACTGGAAACTTCAAGAGACACATGCGCATCCACACAGGAGAGAAGCCCTTCAGCTGCAGAAACTGTAACAAGGCCTTTTCAGACCCTGCAGCCTGCAGAGCTCACGAGAAAACACACAGGTACAAATTATTTATATATTTCATGAGTAGTTTTTAAGTTATTTTAATATTGTATAATTTGGCTTGTCTGATTTCTATGCATTAGGTGATTTGTTGCAAATACTCACATGTTATGTAAAACAAGGTTACATCTTTATCATTTATCTTTTATGTTTATGTTCTTCAGCCCACTGAAACCATTTTGCTGCTCCACTTGTGGGAGGAGTTACCGGCACATCAGTTTGCTGAACATGCACCTTAAACGACACACTGGAGAGGCTCGCTACAGCTGTGACCTGTGTGGGAAACTGTTCACAACCTCCGGGAACCTAAAGAGGCACCAGCTTGTCCACAGCGGAGAGAAGCCTTTCCAGTGTGACTACTGTGACAGGGCCTTCTCCGACCCCACAGCCAAGATGCGACACCTGGAGACCCACGACACAGAGAAGGACCATAAGTGTCCTCACTGTGACAAACGCTTCCACCAGGTAACAGCTCAGATCAGAGATCGTGCACTGTAAGTGTCTGCACTGCAGCAGTAGTTCTGTGGTTTGAGGCAGAGCTCAGAGGGAACCTGGATCTTGGAATCCAGTAAAAAAAAAAAAACATCTGTACTGATATATGCTTATTCATTTTCTGAAGGATTGCAGGGGGGTGGGGGTAATGGCAGGAGTGAGGTTTGTTTGTGAGAGGAGATGAGTAAATGAGGGGTTTAAAAAGTTAAGATGTCAGTGTCTGCCTTCATCTTGTGTTTGACATATGTCTGAAAACCATTTGTGTTTTTGAGTTACATCAATATAAACTGACTTCAGTGTAACTGCAAGCCAAAACAAAGGGTATAGTTTTGTTGGATGCTAAAAACAGAAAAAGTTGAAGTGGAGGATGTGTGTCCTTTTTATTATTTTATGTTGTGTTTAGCTGGGAAATCTCAAAGCTCATCTGAAGATTCACATTGCAGATGGACCTCTGAAATGCAAAGAATGTGGCAAACAGTTCACCACTTCAGGTAAACAGTGAATAGGTCACTGACTCTAAAACTATTGTCATCCTGAATTAATACATTTTATTAATTCTCTAGTGTTAAGAAACATTAAACAGTATTCTGATTTATTGAAATGTGTAAATGCAAACACACCTTTGCACATTAAAAAAAACATACTTTAACTGAAAAACATACTGAAATTTGAGATTATTTTTGCTGTGTTTCAGGGAACTTGAAGAGGCACCTGCGTGTCCACACTGGAGAAAAGCCCTATGTGTGTAATCACTGTCAGAGAGCATTCAGTGACCCAGGAGCCCTGCTGCGGCACGAGCGCACGCACACCGGTACACAGGGGGCAACACTGGGTTTTTTAGGCTGTTTTTTGCTGTTTATTAATCATGTGTCATAGAGATCGACTAATGTTTTGTTTCATGGCTGATGTCGATACTGCTGATACTTGCTCAGAATCCAGAGCAGGTGATGGTCAATAAATTCTATATTTTTGGGCCGATTTATATAGGGCCTCAAATTACTATAAATTACTTAAAGGTGCATTGTGTAACATTTCTGGTGGAGGGTCCTTCAAATGCTTTTCTTCATGGAGATGATGTTGCTTTGTCTGGAATGTTTCACAGTATGGCATTAAACCTTTCTATCTTCATGGAGACCAAACCAGACCAGGTTACGTGTCAGATTTGTACGCGACTCCGCTCACAGTTGAAAACCACATTGAATAAATGTAAGGTAGAGCTGTTTAAAGTCATACTGTGGACATTCCAGGCAGAGCAAAGACATCTCCATAGACACAAGCAGGTGACAGACCTCCAACCAAAGAGTTACATAGTGTACCTTTAAATTTACTATACACACCCACGGCCTGTTTTACCATAAACCTTTAAGAGAACAGTGCATCACATTTAGTGCAGTTATCTTTTTGTACTAAAGTAAAATAACTACAGTCTGGAGATTTAAGACCTATAGCCTATACACTAAAAAGTCAAAATATCTGCATTATATATCGGTCTATCTCTAATGGTTTGTACCAAATCTTGATACCATGTGCCCTTCACCTCCGTTTGACTGTCAAAACTTCCATTTATGTGTTGCAGGTGAGAAACCGTGTGTGTGCAAGGTGTGTGGTAAAGCTTTCACTCAGGCCAGCTCCCTCATCGCTCACTTCAGGCAGCACACTGGAGAAAGGCCCTATGTGTGTGACCGCTGTGGAAAGAGGTCAGAGAAGCAAGTGAAAAGAAAAAAACAGAAAAAAGCACAGTAGAATTGGTGGATTACTATAAAAATGTGTTTCAGGTTTACTCAATCCAGTCAGCTCGCCAACCACATCAAACACCATGACAATGTGCGCCCACACAAATGCCACTTGTGCACCAAAGCTTTTGTGAATGTTGGAGACTTGTCCAAGCACATCATTGTTCACACAGGTAAGACGAATGCACTGTGCACGCCAAGAATCATGTTTCCTGTACAGATTGGGCCTCATTCTTTAAGCACTCTTAAAAACAAATTTGTACAGTTTTAACAGTTTTGGCATTCAAAAGATTTTCTTAATTGAAACTTGTGTAAGAGTAAATCCTACAAACAGTCAGGAGCACTTGTAGCAACAACAATTATACTCTTTATTATTATTCTGATAATGCAACCAAAAATTCCATTTTCCATTTCCATTTTTTGTAAGTAGGGCTGCTCATTTATGGAAAAAATCATTATCACGATTATTTTGGTCAGTATTGAAATCATGATTACTCAAACGATTATTTTTTAGTTAGACGATGCATTAATTCAGCATTTCTCTCTCTCAAAAATAGACTGTGTTATTGATAATTTATGCAAAACTTTCAAATTGAAAATAAATAAAGGCTACAGATATTAACCTTAGAGCAGTTTTGTGATGTATAAAACATAAAATGAATAAAATATGCTTGATACATGAAATAAGGCTTAGAAAAACATAAATGTATCCAAAATAAACTATATATCCAGATGTTCTACAATCTCTATATTTAAAAAAATAAAATAAATATACTTATTTATATTTTTTAAAATCCCAAAATAAACCTTGTTAAACTTTAAATCGTTTCAGCTTGATTATATGAGCTTGGAGATCGTTTGACACACAAATTGAAATTGCAATCAACATTCGATTAATTGCACAGCCTTAATTGTTAGGCTGCAAATGATTTCTTTTAAAAAATAGTTCTGTGGCAGCCTCGATCTGTCCCTGCCCCAGTGCACTCCTTATGGGCCACACCGAGCTGGACTCAACCCCACCCCAACCCTCCAAGAACGTGTTGTGAATCTTAGCATCTTCTATAAATGGAAGTTATGTATATTTTTTAAGAAAACATTAATGAATAAGGTCCATTTTTTGTTCTGTACTTTTTACAGGTGAGAAACCATTTCTATGCGACAAGTGTGGCCGAGGGTTTAACCGCGTGGATAACCTGCGGTCACATGTGAAGACTGTGCATCACGGTAAAGCTGGGATGAAGAGACTGGTGGTGACAGAAAACAGCTCACAGGAGGCGGAGGCTGGTGGAGGGCTCTCTGTCTCACTGAATGAGGTCAACATCGTCACTGTCACCACTGACGACATCGTTACACTGGCTACAGAGGCTCTGGCATCTTCAGCTGTAACACAACTCACAGGTCTGTTTTAGAGTAAAGCACAGAACACAAATCTTAAAAACTTTTACATGCATTATTATTGTGTTTGCTGGTCCACACTACAGACAGAATGAGAGTTTGTCTCTTTTGTATATCCTAGTAGAAGTAACTTACCAGCATCAGAATGTGATGGAAGAGTGATTAAATAATACAGTGATGTAAACTAATTTGTGTCCAGGGGTAGCACAATAGATGTAATTATAATGCTTTTCTTTTACAATTTACAATAAATATAATTTTAAAACAAAAAACTTTCAGGAATCGCTCTGGGCTTAGAAATGATGTGCCTGTGAATTTCTTTTTATCAAGTAGGACATAACCTTGAGTAGAAGTGTAAAGGATTGGCCTCTGTGTTAACAGTTGTTCCAGTGGCCACTTCAGGCTCTGCAGATGAAACGGAGGCTTTGAAAGCAGAAATTACTAAAGCAGTGGAGAAAGTTCAGGAATCAGGTAAGATGATCAGAGTGCATTTCTATTCTACATAGTTTAAAGTTCATAAAATAGTATTTTACTCTCAACATTTAGATCCCAACATGCAGATCCTCTACGCCTGTGATTCGTGTGGGGACAAATTCTTGGATGCCAGTTCTTTGGCGCAGCACGTCCGCATTCACACAGCCCAGGCTTTAGTCATGTTCCAGGCAGATTCAGACTGTTACCAGTACACCACAACTACCACCGCTGGGGAGGATGCCACCCCAACATGGCAACCTGCATCAGAGGAGGATATCCAGGAGGGGGAGCTGGTGTTCAGGCCCATGGACCAGGAAGAAGAGGCTCAAACAGACACTGTGGTGGGTCAGGAGGAAGAGGCAGCAGCATCAGTGCTGGAAACACAAACTGAAGTCAAGACAGAGGATCTGAAGAAGAGTGGGGAGGGCAACAATCAAACTGAGGACATGAACTTACAGAGTTAGACAACTAAATTATAAAGAAGCATTTGTGATATTTGGACAGATGACGGCTGGAAACTATAAATATAAATCATGGGGAAAGCTTTTGTAAAACAAATTTGACCTGCATGTTGTGCATTTTATTTTTGTTTAACTTTTTATTTTACCTAATTAATTATAAGAACTGTCAAGTCCCATAATGAGGAAATTCCAGAAGCTGCTTCATTTAAAAAACAAAAGTAGTCCTGATATTAAGTTGTGTTTACATTAATTTTATTTTCCTGAGCATCTGTACATTTATGTTTAACTTCAGTGAGTGGCTTTCCTACTGCTTCTGAGTGTCACACAGTGGCATACAAGAATTCTGTCTCTATTTAGATGTCTACTATGTGTATAAGACAATAAGCTGTATTTTATTAAAATAATAATTAACTACATTGTGTATAAATGTCTTTTGCATTTTGCAGACAGTAAATCTGTAGTTTATTTTGATTACACAATTAAACAAAAGTTGAATATAGGAAATAAGCCTGTTTACAATCTCCTATGTAATGTGCATTATTCTTAGTTTCCAATATTATTATTTTATATGTTAAAACAATGTCCGGGTCTTCAGAGAATCATTCCGTATGAACCAGATTAATTTTACATGTGAATTTTTGCATTAACTTACTTCCTTGTCCCTAAGCGCCGTCTCACTATTGGTCAGAAAGTGTTCCGGGTGTACGCGTTGTGGCCTCTGATTGGCTGAAGCGCCGGCGCACCGTGGACCTCACGCTTAACGCTGACGTCGACTTCTGCAGCAAAATGGCGACGTTGACAGAAGCCGTGCAGGGGCCGCAAAAAGACCAGTGTAATTCCAAAAAACTCCCTGCTATGAAAACTCAGAGGAGACCGCGGCTTCTGGACAGTATCATGCTCGTGTTTATGTGTTTAGCTGCGTTTATGCACGGTGCGTTTGCGGATGGGAAGACGCTGGTTCTGCTGGACAACCTCAACATCCGAGACACCCATTCAATCTTCTTCCGCAGTCTCGCAGGTTCGTGATGTTAGTCTAAAATAGTCTAAAATGCAATATCGTTGTAGGCTAGAATGATTGAATTTGCATAATTCAAAACTGGGACACATCCGAGTTGGTATAAATAAATAGTGAATGCGTAACATGGTCCATTCTTGACTCACACGAGGGTCAGTCATATCTGTGAGACTTCTGTCGGTGCAGTTTTTAATCTTATGGTCATTTTCAACTACTTTTCTATATTTTAGCTAATGGCAATATGTTCCCCTTTTTACTGTACTGGGTATCAGATTGGTCAAAATAGGGACACTTGGAGATTTCTGGTATAAAACTGGGACAAATCAGTGGTTTTGGATACATCTGCAAGGACACAGGGCTTAAAACTGGGACTATCCTGAGTAAATAAGGACATTTGGTCATCTTATTGTAGGTACTGTGTTATAATTATTACATTATGCAAAGTACTTTAACACAACAACACATGTGTATGAAACAAATCTTATTAATGACTCTTCTTTTTCAGATCGTGGTTTTGACCTCGCATTTAAAACGGCCGATGACCCCTCCCTCTCTCTGATCAAATATGGACAGTTTCTGTATGATCATTTAGTAATCTTCTCACCGTCAGTAGAAGGTACATAAACATTGTAGCCTACGTCTTCTTATGACACTTAAAAGGCCTATATTTCACTATTTTCTGATCTATCTTGTAATATTGTTTCCTCATCATAAACATACCGGGAGTTGTTGTCCATCTTGTGATGTCATGTGGTAGTACAGTCAGTGCTCCTGCATGCTTTAAACTCCATACACTTTCGCTAGAATGATTTGGATCATTTCAGACCTGGAATTTCTGATCTCTACTGAATACAAGGTAAAAAGGTAGCTGTTAACTTGAAAACTACAGCTTCATAACACACAAGGTGGAACAGAGCATTTTTAGCTTTGGAGATGCAGGCACAATAATTATGAAGGGTTACTCAAACATGTGTGAATGAAATAAATCACAACTCCAGGTATGTTTTTTAGGAGATAACAACATTATGAAATGATTACATTATGAATTAAAGAGTCGGTTTTGTGTAATATAGGACCTTTCAAATATTTGTCATGTGTGTAACTCAATGGTTTATTTTTCAGACTTTGGGGGAAATATTAATGTGGAAACCATTACCTCCTTTATTGATGGTGGCAATGTTCTGGTTGCTGCCAGCTCAGACATCGGTGAGTTTATATTATTTTTATTTAGGCTAATATTGTAAGTGTATTCTTATTAATAGACAAGAAATACAGAACTATTGTCCTGATTTAACCACAGGGGACCCTCTGAGGGAGCTGGGCAGTGAGTGTGGAATTGAATTTGATGAAGAAAAAACTGCTGTCATTGACCACCATAACTACGATGTGTCTGATCCTGGAGAGGTAAAATATCTGTAATTAAATAAAATAATAGTACTTATATATCAGTCAATAATAATTTGTAACATAATCTTTCCCTCCAGCATACTCTGATTGTTGCTGATCCAGAAAATCTTTTGAAAGCTCCCACTATTGTTGGCAAACCTACCAACAAACCAGTCCTCTTTAAAGGAGTGGGGTAAGTATATAATGACTCCAACATCTTTGCAATACCCTGAAGTTAACAGGGTGACTCTGTCCCATTTTATTGCCTGTATTTTTAAATATATGAATGTTGGAAAAATCTTAGTAATCCCAAGGTTCTAAACTGACAGACCTTTTCTCTTTTAATTCTTGTTTGTTTTGGAGCAGCACATTATACCACTGTTGGTATTGATACATTATTTTGTTTGTCTTTTAGCATGGTGGCAGACCCTGAAAACCCTCTGGTCTTGGACATTCTTACTGGCTCTTCAACATCCTACTCCTACTTCCCTGATAGACCAGTTTCTCAGGTAAACAGTTGATATTATTGAGCACCTTTCGAGTAATTATTCACTTAAATAATTTAAACATTATTATTGTATTCCAGTATCCCCATGCTGTTGGAAAGAATACTCTGCTGATTGCCGGACTCCAGGCTCGCAACAATGCTCGAGTAGTTTTCAGTGGTTCTCTGGACTTCTTTAGTGACGCTTATTTCAACTCTGCTGTGCAAAAGGCGAGGCCCGGGTCCCAGAGGTGAGTTTAAAACAAGAAAAAAAAGATTTGTTTTATTCTGATTGCATAAAATATGTATATTGTACGACTAGAGAAGTGTATTTGCATAGAAAAAACTAAATGGTGAACTCCAAGTAGGGCTGTCATGATAATACAATGTTCAATGAGCCAGAAAAACAGAATTAAATGGTCTTCTTTCTTCAGGTTTGAGGAGAACGGAAACATGGACCTAGCTGAAGCTTTGTCCCGGTGGGTGTTTAAGGAGGCTGGGGTCCTCAGGGTGGGAGCTGTCACCCATCACCCAGTGGGAGAGACCACTCCTCCTGCTGCATACACCATCACTGACCTCGTGGTGCGTACTAACTGTTCAAGACATTATACCAATGTTTAGTATTTTCACTGAACTATTCCTTAAATGTCCTAAATGTGTTATGTGCAGGAATACAGTATTGTGATTGAGATGCTGTCTGAAGGCCGGTGGGTTCCCTTCGATGGAGATGATATTCAGCTTGAGTTTGTGAGGATTGATCCTTTTGTCAGGACTTACCTTAAGAAGAACGGTATGTGTTGTTTGCATACTAGACTTCGACAAACTTTATTGATCCTTAAAGGAATTTATTTGGACACAGCAGCTCACACATTACAGTATATTATAATAACAAAGAGCAACAAAAATATAAATAGTACCGTAATGTGCAAGTAATATAAATGTATATGTACTGCTTTTCCCCAATTGCCTCCACTGTCTATGTTCAATTGTGATTGGTGAATGATGTCTTTGTATGTGTGAATGGGTAAATGTGACAATACATAAGCACACTATTGTTATTTCTTTGTTCCAGGAGGTAAATACAGTGTACAGTTTAAGCTACCAGATGTTTATGGAGTCTTCCAGTTCAAAGTGGATTATAATCGGCTGGGATACACACACCTTTACTCATCCACTCAGGTAACTTGATACTTGTGTTAGAGATCCAAACTAATTTATTGCAAATTCAATGATCATCAACAAAGTGTTATAGGGCCTATATTATACTACTTTCTGATCTATGTTATATTGGTGTTTCCTCATCAAAAACATACCTGGACTTGTGTGGTCAGGTAGGAAGTGCTCCACTGTGTTTTTAAAATCTAAACACTTTCACTATAATTATTTGAATGATTTCAGCCCAGAAATTGGCAATCTGTTCTGAACAAAAGGTTAAAGGTAGCTGTTAATGTGTGAATGAAAGAAAACGCAACACTAAGTATGTTTTGATGAGGTAACAACATTCTAATATGCCTTAAAACTCACTAGAGTCAATTTTGTGTAATATGGGACCTTTTAAACTGTGCTTAAATCAGCCACTGCACATTGTTTTTACAAGTTTAATTATTATTTTTTTCTTCTTGTTGTAGGTGTCCGTGCGGCCCTTACAGCACACTCAGTATGAGCGGTTCATCCCCTCCGCGTTTCCATATTACGCCAGTGCCTTCTCCATGATGATGGGCCTCTTCATCTTCAGCATCGTCTTCCTCCACATGAAAGAGAAGGAAAAGTCAGATTAAAAGAAACTAGTGAAAAGAGGGGAGATTATACAAGATGAATATGTTCTCTTCAGGCAGAGGACATGGACTGCAGTTTTTTGTACTGGATTTGAACTTGGATTTACATTCAATGATTGGTTGTGCTTTTTCTACTTTAAACCTTAACTAAAAGTTGTCCTGAATACAATTTGTCTGTACAAAATTTGCTTTATGTTAAAAGTAAAGCTAAAGAGCAGTAAAATTATTTAAATGTTCACTGTTTTTTACCAGGGGGAGGATTATTGTGACAACAAGATGCACTGAATATACCAACGGAGTTGAAAATTTAATGTGTCCATTGAAGTTGGTGTCATCTGAACAATAAAAATGTTTTGGACATTCCATTCAGTTGTTCACTTTTTGCAGCATGTTAAGTTGTTTATTTATTACACAGACACATGCGTATAGCTCATATATTATTTATGATATTTATTTTATAGATTTTTTTTTTATTAATAGCTCTTGGTGATTAACAGATTATAGAAAATTATGTCATACTCCCAGATGGGGGCAAGAGGCAGTTTCAACTACTGATTACACTGTACTTTGCTATGAAATACACAAAAATTAAACATTTAAATGTTGGACCTGATCATTTCTGTCAGTAACTAGACCCACGAGCTCTCTGTATCCCAACAAAAATCTGAATTTTAACAGTATCTAGGCTGACTCCATTTGTATTAAATAATAATGACCTATTAAAAATTGTGATGTCACCTGAAAACCATCAATTAAAAAAAAAAACATCTTACTGAAAACTACTAATGTCAATCATATCATTGTTTCACTGTCTTCCTATGACCTCTCATATAAAGCTGAGATTTTATATTTTATTACTTTTTTTTTTTTATTTCATTTTGACTTGTACATATACCGGTACATTTATATAATTATGCCTTATTTGACATCCTTCTCTTGCTATCCTTTTTTGCTACTTGTTTAGAATTATTATTACCATTTAGATTTTTACTCTTTGTTATTATATTGTGATGACCAAAAACATGCTACATAGGTCTCCAGGAAGAATAGCTGACAGCTAAGGTCAATTAAATACAATTAATCAATGAACCTGCCCAGGACTACAGGTGGAAATTAGCACTGGTGCTACAACCTGGTAGAATGCATCTCTCCCGTTAAGGTTGATGTAAATAAAAAAATAAAATAAAATAAATAAATAAATAAATACTAAACTAGACTAAACTAAAGAACTAAATAAGTGAGCTACGGTGTCCAAATAATTTAAAATGACGATATAGGTTAACTTCATGTGGTTATATTATTTAATGGTTATGGTAATGTGGTTATATTTTATTATATTTTATTTATTTTATTCTGTTTATTATTTTATTTATATAGTTATTTATATTAATTAATTTATGTTTTTTAAATTTTTATAATTTTTTTTTAGATCACGACAAAAAGCTCGCAGTGACGTCAGTGCGTCGCTGGACTGTCCGGAGCGGCTAGCGCAAAAGTCACAACAGCTTATTGATCAAGTTCGCCTCTGTTTCTCCGATCTGTAAACACATGGGGGAGTAGCCGAAACTATTAAAGAGCTGTCTTTTCATCACTTTAGGCTGGACCATCGTGACATTTAAACTAACTTTCCCAGGGCTTGAACAGATCCAGTGGCTAATGCTAGCTAATTTCCGCTGCGGAGTGACTGGGTTTGAGCGGCATATGCTATCGCTGCGTACAGGACATCAACATCAACATGATCACGGCGTGTTAGCGGGGCTTTGGGACGGGGAATGCACGCATGACAAGCAGACGGCATCGTAACACTTAATGACGGAGCTGTCTGGATGGGGAGACACGCTTGTTTCACGTAGCAAAGACAAAAAGTGGGAACCGCGTTAGCAAAACAAGAGCTATAGAGTCAGCTGACAGTGTACAGCCCAGCCAACAACAGCCCAGTGATGGATCAGCTGAAAGTGAAGGACCGCATACTGGAAAACATCTCTTTGTCTGTCAAAAAGGTACGTGCAGATCAGCATAAATGCAAATATAATAATAAGCAATAAACGTGTGGGTTGGCAGTAAAGAGCTTCACTCGTGTCTCATATCAATGTCTCACTAGAAGCACAACTTTCAAGTACTACGCTATAGGGCATTGCAAAGTCTTTCACGGCCTTATGACAAAACCTAGCTCCACTCTTTGCAGTTTTCTTAGACTTAGATAAACTTTATTGATCCATAAGGGAAATTATTTGGACACAGTAGCTCACACATCACAATAAATCTAATAAAATAAGTGTGAATTGTTGTACAGTTGTATGGAGCATGGTATGAATGTAGTTCTGTAGGACTACTGTAGGAACCTGTTGGAGAATGAGCTCCTCTGTCCCTCTATTGTCTGGTGCAGTGGGTGAGCAGGAGTGTCCAGGATGGAGAGTAGTTTGTCCAGTTTCCTCCTGTCCCTTATTTCTTTGCCTAGAAGTTATTGTAAAGTGTTTGTTAAGGGTGGATGCCAGTAGGGGTGTGCAAAAACATTGAAATATTGATATATCGTATTGCCTAATGTGATGATACAGTATCGATATCGTGGGCTGCTGTATCGATATATTGCCAAGAGTATTTTTTGGTGTGTTTTACTCAGTTACTTTGTTATAACACTACAGTTTTGTTGTTTGTTTAGTGTTAGTTATGTGTTTATCCAACACATTTGACATTTTCACTGTTTTGATGAGTAAAATGGGTGTGCTTTGCACAAGAAGTGGTTTAACAAAGACTTTTAGTATCATAGTCATTATTTAGCCATTATTTTATTGAACCGTATCGAATTGATTTGAAATATATCATATTGAATCGAAAGTGCACTGTATCGAGATATGTGTCGTCTTGTGGCCTATGTATCGAGGTATGCATCTTATCGGCAACTATGTAATGATACCCAGCCCTAGATGCCAGTGGCCGTAAAGAACAGCTAGAGCAACTGCACTCTTGCACACACTTTTAAAGACAGACCAAAAAGAAGTACAGCTGTCAGTTCAAGTTGTTTCCAATTCACTGTGTGCTGGATGTGCATGCAACTTTTTCTAATGGTCGTATATTACACCACAACTGACTCCTGTGAGCATTAAGCCATGTTATAATGTGGTTACCTCATCAAAAACATAGAGTTGAGTTTAGTATCATTCACACATGTTTGACTAACCCTACATTATTCGTCTGTCTACATTCCAAAGCCCAAAATGCTCTGTTCCACCTTGTGATGTGGTGTAATGGTAGTTTTCAAGTTAACAGCTACCTTTTAATTTGGCTTAGTAGAGATGGGCAATTCCAGCGCTGAAATCTTACAAATGAAGGTGTATGAAATTTAAAAACAGAGTGGAGCACTTCCTATATTACCACTTGACATTACAAAGTGTCAGAGGATTTGTGTGTTAATTAAACATGTGTGAATGAAACAAAACACAACTCTGGGTATGTTTGTAATGAGGAAACAACATTATAACATAGAACAGAAAATAGTCTAATACTGGCCCTTTAAGAAACTTCAAACCTGACCGACAGCATTACTTCAGACTGGTCTTGCTCCAACTTCCTTATCCTTAACTGTTTCCATATTGCAGCCTTTGTTGTTTATTGTGTTAAGCTTGTGTTGCCTACCAGCTGTTTACTTTCATTTAAGAAAACATGCTTAGTATACACTTTAGTCATGTGCCATGCTGTTGGTCACGGGATCTAAATGCCATATATTTAAAGAAATGACTCAACAACTGTGGTTTAATCTCTGCAAGGTGAAAATGATTGTAGCTTTTGTATGAGTAAAACAGAGATGACTTGTAACTTCTGACATAGATCCTTTAGTCATGTGTCTCATCAATGTGTAATATCAGATGAACGTGGTTCCCTATCTTAATTTGCACTGAGATACTGAAAGTCTTCTAAGAAACTGCAAGTGCAAGACTCAGGACAGCTACTGATAATCAGACTATATGTTCTATATGTACTTTGTATTTGTGGCTCTATAGCTTGGAGCTTAATATTTACTGTGTGTACATTTTCTTTGCAATTGGGGGGAAGATTTTTTGCTATTTTTATGTATTATGATAAGATCTGAGCTGTAAATGGTTGAATAAGTAACTTCTGTGGCTAAATATTGTTTCATTCTGATTAAATAATGTATTGCTAAATCCTGATTTTGTTATAAACCAGTATTTCCTTTTGAAATATCCAGAAAAATAATAAAATCAAACCACAAAAGGATGGTTCATGTGCTTTTTACACAAATGAAAACTGTCCCATTGAGATACTGTGTTTATGCAGTTGCAGAGTTACTTCGCGGCCTGTGAAGATGAGACTCCTGCGATACGGAATCACGACCGTGTCCTCCAGAGATTGTGTGAACACATTGACCATGCTCTGCTTTACGGGTAAGAGCCAAGGCCACTGTGACTGCTGTAACCTGGACAAATTCAGTTCAATTCAGTCTTTATTAAGAATGAACAATATCTGTTTCATAGTAAGTAAACAGGGATGTAACAATAACCAAAATTTCATGATATTGTATTGTGAAAAGTCACAATAATATCGTGGGTCATCACAATATATGAAATTACAAGTTTACAAGTTTTTTTTTCAGTCCAATCTACATGATGACATGATGGTATTAAACAGTCTTACATCTTAATTATTTGCATTGTGACAGAACATATTTACAGTTTTGTTAGCCTACACAAAATATCACAGTAAATATTGTTCTGTAAGATATCACCAGAGTGTGCAGAAAAACGCTACATAAACATAAAGTTCTTTGCTAGATCATTGTTGTTTTCAGTTATAAGAAAGCATATTACTATCCATAAACATTTTAAACTGTCAGCAACTTTAATAATGGTTGTGATATTATTGTTAATCGCAATTATTTTGGCCTTGATAATCATGACACCAAATTTCAATATCATTCCATGCCTACTCTACACACACACGGATGAATAAATACAATATCTAATCCTGACAACATAGGATCTCACGCCACAGTTAACAAACATTTCACTGGCACTACAGAACCTCGGGACTTTTAGTAATATTCTCAAGAAGTCATTATAGGCCACTGTTTTCTTTTAGTTGCGCCAAAAAAACTAATAATGAATAAACCCTCATCCAGTCTAGTACGGTAGGGATGGAATGATGTCCAAATGTCTTGATATGGTATTTTCATGATTTGAATCGCACAGAATATTATTTATTGCAATATTTTGTTAATAATATTGCTAACAAAATTGTGAATATACTACTTTTTTCCTTTAAAAATGCCTTTGGTTCTGTCATAAACCAAAGAGTTAAGATTTAAAAGTGAAGTAAATTGGACTGAAACAGAGCAAAGGATCATGGTCTATGTAGTGCCCTGTGTTTCTGTTAGCTATTGCTGCCCCATAACAATGAGTTTAAGTAACGACACTTGAGATTTGATATATATTGTGATGGCCCACGATATTATTGAGAGACTTTTGATGATACAATATTGAGATATTTCAGTTATTGTTACATCCCCAGTATACAGCATCTGAGCTTTGGATTGTGCGCCTTTTATATTTCCAACTGAACTTTTAAATAATTTTCTGGAGCTCTGGAATTGCTCTTCATTGTTCAATGTTTCAAGAGTTGTCTGTGGGGAATAAGCTTTGTGCATAGCACCTGGCAACATCACTGTAAGCGTCACTACTTCCTGTCCAATTTTGTCTCTGAGTTTTTTTCCAAATCGAGCTGTAATGAATAAATTTTAGAGCCCGACCGATATATCGGTTGGCCGATATTATCGGTTGATATGGGCAACTTTGGGCATATCGGCTATCGGCCGATATGCTTGCTGATAGGGGCCGATATTTCACGTGGGCATGTTATACCTCGTTATAAAGCTTAGACTCTCTACATTCTGTTCATTTAATCCAATTTACAAACAGATAAATGTCCTAATATGTGGCTCGACATCAGTATTTATCTACGGAGTCATTTGTCTGTGTCCGTACTGTCCCTGAACACACCACAGAGTCGCGTCACTCACGTGTGTTTGTTTACACCTGCAGACACAGATCCAAACACTGAGATTATATTCTTTTTACGGACAATCGGTTTGAGTCTGGATTAAAAGGACATTTATTAGTGCAGATTTGTGATGTGAGGAGGAGCCTGTATGAGCCGTAAGTGTTGGAAATAGGTCGACTCTGAAGCTAGTTTTTGTCATTTGTTATGGGTTAGCTGCTGTAGCTCCCGCACATAAACAGACTGTTTTCTATTGGTCTGTTCTAAAGTGACTATATTGGCCGTATATTTGCTACTGGACCTGCACTGATATGTAAATGAGCTGTGAACAGACGTGTGAATTATGACATTTGCGCATATAATTAATTACCGCGGCGCGCACGTATTTACGGCTAAAGGCTAATAGCGCTACTTTCTTTACTAGTTATGGGTCCGTCGCGAACGAAATGACTCTTAGAACCGGCTCTTTAAAGGGAACGACGGGAGCCTGATCCTTATTGGGAGCCGTGTTTTCTCTTTCTCTCACTTTTTTTCTCTTCACGCCGCGTGCAGATTCGTGGTTTGACAGCGGCAGCGGCTAAAAACGAAACTTTGAGAAATTTGCGTGTACGTAGGATTAAAAAAATAAAAATTATAAAAAAAACCGAGCATATTTGACTGTAGTTTAGCATAAAATAAATAAGTCCCGGTTTAGTCCTTTTTCAGTCCTGGTTTAGACCTGGTTCAGTCCTGATTCAGTCCTGCTTTAGACGTCCTTTAGTCCTGCTTGCAACAAAACAATCTGAAGAGCCGCTTGGGAGCCAAAAGAACCAGCAGCTTTTAGTGAGCCGAGCCAAAAGAGCCGGTTCTCTAAAAAGAACTGGAATACCCATCACTAGTGTCTAGAATGTGATGCAAAAATGCCATTAAGCCGAACTACTGTCTGTAAATTTGATGTAAAGAGGCAGAATAACAATAAATGTTGCCTAAATAAACCCAATTTAAAATCCACCAGAGCCAAACCTAAGTTTTTTAAACAATTCAACATTTACAGTGAATTTTTACATCACTAAATATATCGGCGATTATATCGGCTATCGGCAGCTCCAACTTACATTATATCGGTTTCATATCGGCCACAGCAAAATCCATATCGGTCGGGCTCTAATAAATATTTAAACATAAGGCAGAGAACGGGAAGCTGTGGGTGAATGTCTCAGACCGTATGGTAAAAAGTACACAAATAAAATGATTACTTCAATAGTGGACACTTCTGTGTTAAGAAAGAGAGATGTTTGTTTATGTTTATGTTTTCAGTGCTAATGCTAAAGTTGAGGCATAATAAATAGTAAAACAACACCACTAACTGAAGTATTCAACATATAAAAATAATCAGGTAGTTTTTATTTTAATATAGTAATTTATTTAGAATTTTAAGAGGTTGTTTATTTAATATTTTTAAATTTTAATAAAACTGTTAGAACGCTTAGCTTTCTCACTTTTGCTAATGTTTTAGTAGCGTACTTTTACAAGGATTGCTTGCTTTTAGGCTTGACAGCTCTTCACCAAGATGGAAAAAGATAAACATAAGAGAGACTGATTAGCCTGGTCAGCTTACTCCATCTTCTTTCAGCTGATAATATCATGCCAAATAGCAAGCCATAAGAAATATAAACAATGTATAAGGACATTTTGTTGTTGTTGATAGTCCACTGTTATAGATTTACACTAGTATATGAATAAGATTTTACATTCTATGTTTCATATATCTGTTTGTTTATATCAGCAAGTAAAGTAGTTTTGAAGAAATGACTATTAACCGTGCTGTATCTTCCTATTGTATTTTCCCAGAACTTTTATCAGGCATTCAAGGGTCAAACTAATCAGGATCAAAGGTCATGTCCTCATTATCCGCAGTCAGCATTTATATTTTGGTCCTGTGTCTTGTGTTTTCTAAATGCAGCCTCCAGGACATTTCCTCGGGATACTGGGTCCTCGTCCTTCACTTCACCCGGAGAGAGGCCGTGAGGCAGATAGAGGAGCTCCAGCACATCGCCACCAACCTCGGCAGAAGTAAGATCATGTGTGTCTAAAAAAACAGAATGGTTTTGGTTAAGTTATTTTACTTGCCATATGTAGTTAAAAGTCACATTCGAAAAACATGTGCAAAAAGCTCAAAGTGCACCATGAGACAAAAAAAACAACCACATGAACAAACATTACACATGATATACTGTGAAATAAACAAGATAAATATCAAAATATCAAGGTGCTACATTAAAGTTCAAAGTGCAACTTGTGAGAAGAAGCTGTTACTAAAAGCAAATTGGGCATTATTATTATTATTCCTTAATAGCTACATGGTAACTCTGGGGTAGCATTCGTTTCAGTGTATTTTTATTTTTACAGTTTGTGCTGTATTATGCTGCTCCTTAGTTGGGTTGTCGTAGCAAATGAGAAGCTGTTCTCACTTGACTTACCTGATAAAATATTGAATAAGTAAATAAAAATTGGGCTTTACAAAATTGAGGGGAAGAAAGAGGGGGAAAATTCCATTAACCAATATTCATGGGAAACAAAAAATGCATTACTGTCAGTCCTTCTCAACAAAGAAAAAAAACTCATGGGGAATTACAGTGAAGGAGACTCTCACTCCCATGGATGGACTGACTCACATCCATTTGCAGATAATGTTCAAGTCTGTAGAGCCAGAATCCACTCAAGAAGGGGTGAAGGTCACAGTTTAGGCTTTATCATGATTCAAGTCATGCCATCAGAGGAGACAAATCCAATCTACTTCTCTGAGATAAGTTAGATCCCACATGGAGCTGCATAAAACAGAGATATAGAGGCTATGATGATATCAACAAAATGGCACAGAATCACATGGTCATATCATGATTTTTAAATAGTCCTATCACCCAGTCCTGCCTTGATTACACACACTAAACCTTTGTTGTTATATTCGTAGATTGTGAGTTAACGTGCTTTTCTATTTATAGGTCGTGCATGGCTGTACTTGGCACTGAGTGAAAGCTCTCTAGAAAGCTACCTGCGTCTCTTCCAGGAGAACCAGGCTTTACTACACAAGTATTATTTCAAGTAAGATATAACTTGTTTACCTTCCTTGGAATTTTGGCATTATTAAACAAAACAAAAAATACAACCAGGCTTTACTATGAGATTACTTCACTAGCAATGACCACGCCACAACAATATGCAAAGAAGAAACTGACTGATGGATAATATGATGTTATGAGGTAGAGACTCAGGATGGGGGCTATGTCTCAGTTGGTCAGAGCAGCTGATACAGGACCCCCCTTTGCAGATGTCTTATGGCTGAAAGACAAACAAGAGAGGGGGTAGGAGTGTGGGGCTGAGATAACTCAGACAAAATGTTTTGATGGGATTGGCTGGTACAAATAGGCTTCTGGGTAATTAGAGGAGTGATTGAGGTGAGCTGTGGTTCAAGGGAGGAGAAGGAGGTTGAGGCCTAGTCATGTTCCTGAATTTCAGTCAGTCATATTAACTCCATATTGTGTCAAAGTGCTAACATCAAATGTTCTGTGTGCTGTAGGAATGCCCTGGTGTGCAGCGATGACCACCTGGCCCTGTTCCTTACTCTGGTATCTGGACTGGAGTTTATCCGCTTCAACCTGGAGCTGGTGAGCATCCACATCACTCAATCCCAACTAAGGATGTAATGATATCCAAATCTCACTGTACGATATTTATCTTAGCAAAATTGTGAATATGCTCCTTTTTCCTCCTTAAATGCATTGACAAGGCTTTGGTTCTGTCATAATGCAAAGAATTAAGATGCTTCATAACAAAATACAAGTTATTTTTTTATGTAATTTGTGCTGAAACAGCAAAGGCTCATGGTCTATGTAGTTCCCAAATGAATATGCTCTGTGCACAACAGCGCCCGGCAACCACAGTGTTGGCGTAACTACTTCCTGTTCAATTTTATCTTTATGAGGTTTTTTATGAGTCGTGCTAAAATGAATAAATATTTAAAGATAAGGCAGTGAACAGGGAGCTGAGGATTGATCTAACAAAAGTAGTACACGAATAAAATTAATACTTGAGCGTCTGTGTTTAGAAAGTGAAGATGTTTGTGTCTCAATGCTAATGCTAATGCTAATTTTGAGGCATATAAAAATAACAATGCCATACATTTAAGTATTTTACATATAAAAATAGTTGAGTAGTCTTTATTTTAATAGATTTTGTTGGTTGTTTGGTTGTTTATTTTACAGTAAGCTAACTAGTGGGCTGTACACAGAGCCTATTTTCGCAAAGAGAATTGAAATTTGATATATTGTGATGACCCTTGATATATTTGAGATTTTTGACGATACGATATCACGATATTTCAGTTATTGTTACATCCCTTATCACAGCTGTCATGTGCTGTACAAATATTTGATGTGTAAACTGCTTCAGGATGTCCCGTACCTGGATGTGGCTCCGTACATGCCTGAGTACTACAAACCACATAACCTGCTGGACTTTGAGGAGAGACTTCCCAGCTCAGACAGCATCTCTTTGCACTCCTTCACTTCACTCAATTCCACTAATTTAGAGTGGGACGACAGCGCCATCGCCCCCTCCAGTGAAGGTATTTTTACTGTTTGTCCTGTTGACTTAATAAACTGTATTCAGAAATGATCATCCCAGTGTATTAATCAACCAGTGGTGGAAGAAATACTAAATTTTGTTACTTAGTAAAAGTGCAGATACCAGAGCAAAAACATACTAAATACTAATAATAAATACTAATACTAAATACAAGTAAAAGTATCACATGAATAAAATCTAGTACCTGTTAAAAATGTTAAATAACATAAAGAGTAAAAAGTAAAAGTATGTAGTACATATTTTGAGGTCTTATAAGGCTTCAAATGTAGTGATTTTGATACAGATTTCTGCAGAATGTTGTTTAACAGAAACTATTTTTTCTAGATGTTTTTATTTGTAAAATTGTATTTGCTCAAATTATGAACATGTTAAAAATAAACTGTTCAGCCTTTTCAGCAAGTTTCAAACTATGATAAAAAATACATTTACTTTTCAGTTTTTGTTCAACAATGTGGTGAAGTAGAAAATACAGATACCTGCTCTCAAGTAGTAAAGTAAAATCTAATTAAGTAAGGTAGAGATATCTAAAATGTATACTTAAGTACAGTACTGCTTTTACCACCACTGGAATTGACACAACATGTAATCAATAATAATGATTAACAATAATAATAATGATTAACAAAGTTTTGGCAGTAATGGTAAAACATATCAGAGTTTTCTCCATCAAGGAATGCTCTAATACAAAGAGAACGAAAAAGCTCACCTTATCAATTTCTGTTGGTGCCGCATCTGAACACTTATGTTTACATACATTCATGTGTCCTCCATTTTCTGTTTTATTTTCAATGAGTCCTTTGTTCATTCCTCCCTTTATAGATTATGATTTTGCTGACATCTTCCCCGTGTTGCAGTCATTGCCAAGTGCAGACTGGGAAGGTGGGACATGGGTGAACCATTTCTGTTTCTGTCCTGTGCTCTCTGGTCTCTCTCATGCATGGCTTTTCGTCCCTTTATGCGGGGTTTTATACTTGTTGTTTGTTGTTGTTGTTTTGCACATTTCACATTTCCTTCTGAATTTTTTTGCTGAATGTAAACAATATAATGACTTTGTGAAAATATGATAAATGTAAGGATTGGGTCATAGGGCAGGAGTGGTTGCTTGTTTAGTGAATATAAAATGTTGTTGAATGTTTTTGCATGTAATAACACAGTGGATGCTGTAAATGCCATTGACAGAAAGACTCAGTGCTTCTGTGGTGCTGACCTCTTATTTCTGGTACTGTTTTCCTAAAGTCTTTGCTGTAATGCGTGGCACTGGTCAAGGTTCAATATGGAGATTTACTCTGAACATTTTTCTCATACTTGGAATGTATTACTTCCCTTGGTATTGTTTAGCCCTGTTTCGCACACTTTTATACGAAACTGTGGTGGTACCTTTTTTGAATAATTCTATTGAATACATTTTTAGACAAATTATATAACTATATATAACTAATTATATAACTTCTACTAATTAAAATGACTGATTAACAAGTATTAAACATGTTTACTTCTATATATTTATAATAATGCAACTGTTCAAATGCTCATATTCAATGCTCAGCCTGTTTTAGACTATAATGGCAGAAAGTTGACCATGATGACAGAGTCTTCATAGTCTCCTCTATAAATAAAAAACATTGATTTAAGCAATAAGACCTAAGTTATAACAAGCTTAATGAAGTTGATTTGATTTTTAACAACTTGGTAGTGATTATTTTAGATTTTTTTATACTTCTGAGCGTCGAGTTATAATTGACAAAAATGCCTTAATAATGCTGTTTGGCCTTGTGATTTTTTTATTTCATTCTTTGAAGAAAAGAGCAGTCTGTGATTAAATCTGGAGTTTGAGTTTTGACTAGTGCCGCTGTAACTAAAGCTGTGAAGATGTTTAACCGCATTAACAGACCTGTAACACTGTCAATGTGCTGCTGATCCAGATATACTCTATTCTTGTATGAAACAGCTTTAACCAAACTACTGGTAAATGTGAGGGTGTGTAGGATTAACTCTGTGCTTTTTATGTGCCAGAAGGTGATCTGACAGACCAGGCTAGCTGCCCTCACTCCGGAGGATCAGACCCTCAGACCGTCGTCAGTGATACTGTGGTGGTCTCCTCATGTGTAGTCAAATCTGGGACGCATCCTTCTCCTCACAGCCCCACATCCAGACATAACCCCTTCAATGAAGACTCAGACACGACCACCAACACCTCTGTAGATGTCACCCCTGTACACGTGCCCAGCCGTCAGAACAGCACAGCCCACGAGGATGATACAGACATCAATAGCAACGAGCTGGAGGTCATCAGGTACTGTTTCTCTCTATGCCTTAAAGGTGCATTGTGTAACTTTTCTGGTGGATGGTCCTTTAAATGCATTTCACCATGGAGGTGTTATTACTTTGTCTGGAATGTTTCACAGTATGGTATTAAACCTTTCTTTCTTCATGAAGACCAAACCAGACCAAGCTGCAGGTCAGATCTGTGTTGTTTAACTAATAGCTATTTGTCATATTTCAGGATGGCCAGAAGAAGAAAACCAGCCAAGAAGCGCAGAGGAAAAGGCTCCACAGACTCCAGCAGTAGCATCCATAACTCTGTGTCCTCTGAGAACATGGAGCTGGGCCTCCAGGACAGCACAGACTGCACCATGGACAGTGAAGGAGAGAGGAGGAGCAGAGCAGGAACTGAGCTTCGGGAGGATGAGGAGCTACTGCGATTGCCAAAGATGGCGGATACCTCCATGGACAGTGTGGGACAGCCTCTGCGTGATGTTATGGACAGGCTCAATGGGGCTCTGGATCAGGATGAGAGCTGGGAGCACTTGGAGGAGGAGCCAGGCTGACTCAGGGCGTGCGGTGGAGCCCACATCGCAGCAGCCCTTTCTGGAGGATTCAGCGGGCGAGCCCCCTGACCCAACACCTTGGAGATTCCACCACAAGCCCTCTTACGAGCCCCTATCTCCAGACTTTCACTGAACCTTCAGAGGAGAGCTTCTCTGCCCCCCACAGTCCAGAGTCTGCTCCCAGCGGTGGTGGCAGCCATGACACTTCACAGCAAAGCGAGCCACAGACTGTTCCAAGGTGGCCATGAAGATGAAGGAGCGGCAAAAGGGGGAGAGGGAGAAGGACCGGGGCTCCAGTTGAACCAGGAGGCAACCAGTGAAGAAAGAGATGGACAGGCAGAGCAGCAGCTGAGCCCCTCTGAGGTGACACATCCAGCGGAGTTTAAGTAAGAACTGGACATAAATACATTCCAAAAATATGAGGATGTTATTCATTGCTTGTATAATATTTTCTGTTCTTGTTTCACCTTCAGAGTTGACAACAACCACTTGCTCTTACTGATGATCCATGTGTTCAGAGAAAATGAAGAGCAGCTGTTTAAGGCAAGTAAATCATTGTTTGGTGCAAGTACTAAATGCCACTTACTTGTCCAGACCACAGCTTGGTTCTTAGGCTTTGTTTGACAAATATAGATTTTGACATATTGATACTTTACAGCATTAATATTCCCTGGGGGTGTGACACTAACTGAAGGCACTGCTCTCTGTTACTCAAATTAGACTTAATCTGAGCTTTGTTTTAACATAATCTAACCAGAAAGAACTGACTTAATTGGAACTACAGCAGGTGAGATGATTTGTGTGCAGTTATTCATGCTCCCCTTTTTGTTGAAGATCAAACTCCTAAAAAGAATCATGAACACTCGTATCACAGGCTTCTGAAAATGTTTTGTTTAAATAAATTTTTTAAATTTTTCCTGAATGTTCAGACTATCTTAAGTTATAACATGTGTATTGTGTCACCATGGTAACTTCTGAACAGTTCGGCCAGTACACATACATGTAGAACACCCCCAGAGTGATGTCGCTGCAAAGTATCATTAGGCTGGTCAGTTTCTTTGAAGAAATTTTGCACTGTCCCTAACTTTTTTATTTGTGTTTGTACAGATGGTGAGGATGAGTACTGGTCACATGGAGGGAGACCTGCAGCCCCTCTTCTTGCTCCTCACTGACTGTTACATCTACCTGCTCCGAAAGGGTGTGTGGACAACAGTACACAAATTCAGACATCCATCCTTCCATTTTCTTCCGCTTATTCGGGGCAGGGTCATGGGGGCAACAGTCTAAGCAGGGACTCCCAGACTTCCTTCACCCCAGACACATCCTCCAGCTCCTCCGGGGGGACCCCGAGGCATTCCCAGGCCAGCCGAGAGACATAGTCCCTCCAGCGTGTCCTGGGTCTTCCCCGTGTCCTCCTCCCGCTGGGAGGAATTTTGACTACTTAATGGATCATTATGCTCAGGCCTTTTAATGATACAATATATAAAAATAAGTTACTGGCTCGGAGCTCGGAGTAGAGCCACTGCTCCTTCACGTTGAGAGGAGCCAGCTGAGGTGACTCGGGCATCTGTTCCGGATGCCTCTTGGACGCCTCCCTCGGGAGGTGTTCTGGGCATGTCCCACCGGGAGGAGGCCCCGGGAAGACCCAGGACACGCTGGAGTTACTATGTCTCTCGGCTGGCCTGGGAACGCCTCGGGGTCCCCCCGGAAGAGCTGGAGGACGTGTGTGTGGAAAGGGAAGTCTGGGAGTCCCTGCTTAGCCTGCTGCCTCCGCGACCCGGCCCCGGATAAGCGGAAGAAAATGGAATGGAATGGAAAGTTTACTGGTTTTATCCTGCTTTTGTGTCAGTAGCTTTTTTTCAATATTATCATTTATCACAATATTTCTCTGTAGCAATATATCATGATTCAGACTTTGTTATTGTGACTGAGGCCTTTAAAACACATGACATGTTTTCTTTGTCCCCTTTTATTTCTAGGTGCAGCAGAGAAGCCATATACAGTTGAAGATGCTGTTTCATACAACGAGCTAGATTATATTTCTGTAAGTCGCATATTATACGTTATAAATTTAAGTTTCATGTATTTAAAGATGCATTGTGCAACTTTTCTGGTGGAGGCTTCATCATTTGCTTGTCTCCATTAAGATCTTATTGCTTTGTCTAAAAAGTTCAACGGTAGAGATTAAACCCATCTCAAGGGAGACAACTATTGGCTATATTACGGGTCGGATCTGTGGAGATGCAATTCTATTTGAAGGAATCACAGCTGCCCTGGGGCAGACTTACAAGAGGCACTGCTGCCATGCCAATCGGCGCCATCAGTCCCTCCGACCACCGCCATCACTCACACACACACCACTTTCATACTAGGCAATGTGGGTGAAGTGTCTTGCCTAAAGACACAATGACAGTTGTGACTGGCGCCCCCCTGTGGCACCTGATTTTCCCAGTGGTCTCCCATCCAAGTACTACCCAGGCCCAGCCTTGCTTAGCTTTTGAGATCTGATGGGATCAGGCTTTTACAAGCCAATATGGCCACATAATAATATAATGAATAAATGTTAGATGGATATGTTTAATGTCATAACATGGAACATTCCAGGAAAAGCAATAACATCTCCATGGAGAAAAGCAGGTGACGGACCCCCAACCTGAAGAGTTGCGCAACTTTTAAGATGTTTAATTTTAGATCTGCCAGGAAAGTGTTGTTTTTTGGCTTGTATCATCAATATCTCTTTGTTGTGTTTTATTGTAGGTGGGTCTAGATCAACAAACAATGACTTTGGTTTGTATGAACAGAAGAAGAAAGTTTCTCTTGGACACAGCTGATGCTTCTCTCACTATGTACGTCTCTACTCTTCCATATAATTCCTATTGTAGTAATTATTGGAGTTATTGGAGCTTGTATTTTATGAGCTATCAAAACAGAAGATGAACAAAGAATAGTTAATACAAATATCTCCTGTATCTAACCTTTAGTTAGTTAAAGGTGCAGTGTGTAACTTTTCTGGTCAAGGATCCGTCAAATGCTTTTCTCCATAGAAATGTTATTGCTTTGTCTGGAATGTTTCACAGTATGGTATTAAGCCTTTCTATCTGCATGGAGACCAAACCAGACCAAGTTACAGGTCAGATCTGTGGAGAGGTGACCCCTCTCACAGTCAGAAACCACCTGTAATTGAATAAATGCAAGATGATTTGTTTAATGCCACACTGTGGAACATTCCAGAGCAATGACATATCCATAGAAACAAGCAGGTAAAGGACCCCTAGCAAAAAGTTACACAGTGCATGTTTGACTAAACCTGGTTTCCCAAAAGAATTATATGCTGAAAACATAAGAATGGAGGGCATGTTATGTTAAAGGTGCACTGTGTAACTTTACTGGCAGAGGGTCCACCACCTGTTTGTATCCATGGAGATGTTACTGCTTTGGGCCGGAATATTCTACTATAGTATTTCAAAAAAGTATCCATGGAGACATTACCAAGCCATGTTACAGGTCAGGTCTGTCTAGAGGCAACCCCCTCTGTGAAGAAATAAATGTTAGAGTTTAATGCTATACAGTGTAACATTTCAGGCAAAGCAATAACTTGTCCATAGAGACAAGCAGGTGACAGACCAGACCAGACCAGACCTTTAAGTAAGGCCTTCAGGAGAGAAAAACAAGCAGTAAGAAACTGCAGTACAATGCTGCTACTGTTAATGTTGTGAAATAAATAGCTTCACATACAAATTACTGTATGTGTAAAAATTCCCCAGTCTATAATGTTCCATAGGGTAATGTCTCAGTTTGCCTCGTATTCAAATCCACTTTATTTATATTGCACATTTTAAAAACAAAGCAGTTTCCAAAATGCTGCACAGAGATCATAAGAAGAAAACAACAAAAGGTATAATTGCTAAAACAAAAATATCTACCAGCCCTAAAGCAATAAAACTAGAATAATATCAAATAAAAGGAAAACCATAAAATTATATATGGCAATGAATAAGTAAAATAAATACAAATAAATAAAAGACACACAACTCACACAGTTCACGCGGTGTTAAAAGCCAGAGAATAAAAGCGGGTCTTCAAGGTGCATTGTGTAACTTTTCTGGTGGAGGGTCCGTCACCTTCTTGTTTCTACGGAGATGTCACTGCTTGGCCTAGAATATTCTGCAGTATTGACATTAAGCAGCTACCTTACATTTATTCAATTACAGGTGGTTTTAAAGCTCAAAAATACATAGAAAAACAGGCATTCTGAATGTGAGCGGGGTTATGTCTCCACAGATCTGACCTTTGGTTTGATCTCCATGAAAATAGAAAGGTTTAATGCCATACTGTGAAACATTCCAGACAAAGCAATAACATCTCTATGGTGAAAAGCATTTGACCCTCCACCAGTAACACAATGCACCTTTAAGACGAGATTTAAAACAGCGAGGGTGTAAATTTCGATTAGAGATGTTGGCTACCGTGGGGCCATTCCATTTAAAGCTTAAAAAATAAATGATAAAATCTCAAAATCAGCTCTGAAATGAACTGAATTAAATGCAACAATACTAAAATTAGGGTTCTTTCATTTTTTTGATTCCAGTTAAAAGATACACAGCAGAATTTTTGACCAACTGTAAGCTGGAAAGTACGTGGCAAATAACAGAGAAAAGTACATTATAGTTTAAACAAGAAGAGATAAAACTGAGCACGACTTGTTCAAATTATATAAAAAAAAAAGTTTAACTCTGGATAAAAGCCACAAATGATAAAGCACAGATTTGGCATCCACGTTCACTTGTTTGTCACCAACCTTGGCATCACTACTGACAGTGAGTTTAAATTTGACAGACTGTATTGTTATATTTTCCTCATGTAGCTGGCTGTTATCAGTACTGAAGTCGTCCATGGTGAAGGGATGCCGAGAGCCCCCGTACCCCGCTGTGCTGACTGACGCCACCATGGAAAAACTGGCTCTGACAAAGTTTGTGGCTCAGGAGTCTCACTGCGAGGTAAGGGCTAATGTTTTTCGGACCACTCAAAGTCTGAAAACGATGGAGGTGGGATGCTAACTGTAGGCTCTGCTCTGTCTGAGGATTTATTAGACTTTATGAACTTTATTTTAACACAATCTGAGCAAAACTGAGATAGGTGGAGCTTACAACACAACATTTTATGACGCTAAACAAGTCCCTCTGAAATAACATTACAGTCACATTATAGTCACTCTTACCTTTATAGCTGAAATTCAAACACTGAAACAAGACCATGAATGCTCATATTGATTACAGGCTCCTGAAAATGTATTCTTTAGATCCATTTTGTGCTAGAAATACATGTAGAACACCCCCAGTTTGATGATATTTGGTTTGACTGCAGCACTCGTCTGTGCAGGTGGCGGAGGTATGCATCCACCTGTATTCTCTGGTCCACTGGGAAGACCCCTTGGACACCTGCCTGTCCCCCCTCCAGTCCCCCGGTTCCAGATCCTCCACCAGCATCAAAGAGGGCACAGTGCAGTACAAGGCTGGCACCACCTATCTGGGTAAAGAGCTGTGGAAGAGCTGCTACCTCGTTCTCAGGTGGGGCTGTGAGTTTATCACAGTGCTTTGATTGGTTAAGGTGCACTGAGTAACATTTCTAGTGGAGGGTCCACCACCTGCTTGTCTCCATGGAAATGTTATTGCTTTGTCTAGAATGTTGCACAGTATAGATTAAACCTATCTGTCACGAGGGAGACAAACAGGTTACATTACAATTCAGATCTGTGGCGAGTCGTCCCTATTCACAGAAGGAATTATTGTATTTTTGAGCAATTAATAAATCCCAGATGTAGATATTTAATGCCTTACCATGGAACATTCAAGGCAAAGTAATAATATCTCCATGGAGACAAGCAAATGGCAGACCCTTCACCAGAAAAATTGCACAGTGCACCTTCAAGATCTTTATGTAATGAACTTAATTTACAATTGAATCTATAGTTTTGATTTTGTGCAAGGCAATTTTGTTTTATAAGGATGGTTTCTAAGGATGGGCAAGATTTTGCAATACAAAACTGCCACATAATTAGGCTCACATCTAGAAAATTATGTTTACATTTGGTTTGGAGAACAAGATTTACGCTGGGGAGTTTTGAGAAGCTGGAGTTCAAAAAAAGTAGTGCTACAATTTCAGCAAAAATGACATAAGAAAAAACATAAGAAATTGTGTGGCCAAAAAGTATCTTTAATATGTATTATTTATGTCTAAATGTTGTCTAGGGGGAGCTGTTTCTTATTCCACCCCTAATGTTTTATATATACACTAATGTGCTTTTATCTTTATAGCAATGGGGTTCTTTATCTGTACTCTGAGAAGAACGACTTGACCCCTCTGCAGTCTGTGACCATGGGGTAAGGCTGACTCACCTCTGTGTGATTTTGTGTCTTAATATTATATATAATTTATTTTGATCTGTGGATGTTCTGTTTGGTGCAGAGGGGAACACTGTGGAGGCTGCCGGCGGTCTAACAGCACCGAGCGCCCTCATGCATTCCAGGTTATACTGACAGAGCGCCCCCCGCTGGAGCTCAGTGCCAGTAATGAGCAAGACATGGCTGAGTGGATGCAGCTGCTCTGCCAGTCTGTGTCCAAAGGGGTATGGACCAATAAATTAAATATAATACAAATATATTGCTGTTATAATGTTGTTTCCCCATCAAAAATATACCTGTACTTTGTCTGCAATAAAAATCTGCACACGTGATTAAAAAAAATGTTCTGCGCTCTTCTCCAGGTGATTCCTCAGGGAGTTGCCCCCACCCCCTGTATCCCCTGTTGTTTGGTGCTCACAGACCAGAAGCTGCTGACGTGTCATCAGGACTGTCAGACCAGCTTCTTCCGCTCTCTGGGCAGTGCTGAGCTCTGCGACGTCAAAGCGGTCAGCCTAGAGGCCAACAAAGAGTACTGCGTCATTGTGAGCAGATTTATTTATACTTTTGGCTGGTCACAAGTAGAGATCGACTGAAAGGGGTTTTTTCATGGCCGATACCGAACTCTGCAGATATTTTTGTGCTGATTTTGATTATACTACGCATTTAAGCACAGCCCTTTTTACCACAAACCTTAAAGAAATCTGTTGAGTCTTACTTTGTGCAGTTATATAGTTGTATTAAAGCTTTGTGTGTATTTTTTTATGCAACAAACCAAAACAAACCATCGGCCTGTGCTGGAGATTCAACATCTATAGCCAGTGCGCTAAAAGTCCAAATATTGCATCAGTATATCAGTTTATCTCTAACCACAAGTGCATTGAGCTTTGTTGAACATTTTGTTGTATGAAGAGGACTTATTTTGCCTTTTTTTTTTTGTGGTAGGAATTTGCTGCAGATCGGAGCCAGTTTCTCCCTTCCTGGGTTTTGTACTTCAGTGGTTGTGAGGAGAGAGATCGTCTGCTTCAAACTCTCAACAAGGCCTGGAAAGACATTTACCAGGTACAGTGCTTGAAAACAGTGGATGCATTCATGAGCAGAAAATGTAGAGCCTGTTTCAGTTTCACTCTGCTCTATATTGAACCGCTCCTGAATGAATGAAAGATTACATTTTCTCATCAGCAGAAAAAGCTGATATGTCCACATTTCACTTTTGCAGTAATAACAATTTAAAGAACACGTTAAGCTTTCTTGTAGTTTTAATTCCCTTTATTTACGATATGGATAAATGTGATGGCTGGGTAGATCCACCACAGTCATTTGGAGTGATGATTGACAGCCGACTGACAGCCACAAAAATCTCGCATGGCGTGGCCCAATACACTCAAGACTTTGAAACCGCAGACATTTGTGCTCGCATCACACCGTTTCCCTTTCCTCCAGACACAACGCACATCGCAGTGACCAGCGCTGCCAGGTTGGGGCGGGCTGAGAGGGGCTCCTCATGTCATAACCTGTATCTGACTCATTGCCAGCTGTTAGTCCAACCCAGAAATTCAAATGTACTTGCCCTAGTTGATCCTAAAGAGGCCGTTACAGACACGGCTTTTCATCCAAAAGTTTGATAGATATACATTTCTATTTTAGACCCATTTACACAGCTAATCAGTAGAAAAAAAAAAGATTTGGTGTTTAGTGGCCCTTTAACAAATAAAACAAGAGAAAACAATTTGAGGTAAAATGAGTCTGATGAGGGTTTATGGGCTTATAGGCTCCGGGTATGTTTTTTATGAGGTATAATCATAGACTGTTTATATAACTGGACCCCTCTCTCTGTAACTGCTGCAGTGAGCCTTGGTATTTCAGTCTTAAAATATTCATATTAACTTTTTCTACTCCTCTAAATAAATTCCTATTCCTAATTTGGAAGTTGGCTCGAAATTTGCCCCTATAACTGCTGGCCTCGTGAGCTTCATGACTGGAGCTGAACGCTGTGGGTGACGTCACACTCCCTTAGTCCACTTCTTTATACAGCCTATGGGTATAATATGGTTAAAAGCTCAAAGATGTAAATTTTCTATAATGTTGACAAATGGTATATATTATTTTTTTTATCTGTATAATTTTTTCATTGCTTTCAATCACAATTTGTCTTCATGTATAGGTGGACCTTCCGCAGACAGTGCTCTCAGACCTGTCAGTTCAGAAGCGCTGTGGCGAGGCTCTGGCCCTGATGAAGAGTGCGTGGCAGAGGGCAGACAGTCTGGCCCGGGGCAGAGCTCAGAGAGAACCATGGTGCTGACCTGCTCCTCTCATCACCTCTCAGTCAAAGCGTGCTCATACAACAGTGTTTTAAGTGGAAACGGAAGTCACAAACAGGACCTAGTGCAAGTGAAGAAACGTCTATGTTGAGAAAAAATGGTGGAGTGGAACAATGCAAAAACCACTAACTTAAGAGCGTATGTGAAATGACTACAGTGAATGTACAGAAGGTGACAATGAAGACCTCCATGAACCAGACATTATGACAATCTGAACAGTTTTACACACATATTCTGAAGCCAAGATTAAACATGACATGATTGTTTTACATAAAAAAGAGTAAATACCTGTACATTTTATGCTCACATGTGTCCAAGTGCTGCTATTTGTTTTCAACGCTCTGTGATCAGAATACTTAAGTCTCTACATGTTCAATGATCAAGTCTCTGTTCATACAGGTTTGAGTTGTGGTATCGATACTGTAGATTAGTACGCAAAAATGTTGGTGTTTTTGTTTGTACAGAAGAGAAGAGTTTTGTAGAAGAGAAAAATGCGTGAAAAATGCATAAAAGTGCATTGTGTAACTTCTCTGGTTCTCTGTCAAATGCTTTACTCTGTGGAGATGTTATTGCTTTGTCTGAAATGTTTCACAGTATGGCATTAAACCTTGCTAACTTCACGAAGATCAAACCAGACCAAGTTACAGGTCAGATCTGCGGAGAGGCGATCCCACTCACACTTAGAATGCCTGTTTTTTGATTGAAAAAATGTATGGCAGAGCTGTTTAATGTCATAATGTGGAACATTCCAGGAAGAGCAATGACATATCCATAGAAACAAGCAGGTGATGGACCAGAAAACCAAAAAGTTACACAGTGCACCTTTAAATACTACATGAAGGATTTAAGATTGCACTGTTTCATGGGATTGTTACCTTTATGTCTCACACCGCCTGGCAGTACTCTCATTTTTAAAAAAGTAATCTTAAAAAACATTTGCCTTCTCTCCATTCTGCACAGACATTTGGAGGCGTCCATGCACAGTTGCACAGTTTTTTCCTTTTTGATAATATTTTCTTTAGGTACTGTTGTGTGTAGAAGTTTGTTTTTTTTGATGGGTTGGAAGTGTATTTATCTAATTTTATTTCAGACTAAATTATGTTCTTCAGTTAATTTTTAGGTTTTTATCTGATGCAAAGTTTTTTTAAGTAGTAATTTTAATTAATTTTTTTTTACATACCATGACAACTTGTGTTACTTCAGAGGCATGAAAGACCAACCACCTAATGCGTGTAATGTGTTACACAACAGAAGGACTCTAATTGCTAAAGTCACCCTGTGCTCTATTGTTGATGCTTGCCTTTTTTTCAATGAGCTCTTCTTGCGCGAAAACACTTTTAACAACTAATGCTTGGGAATGAGAAATTCAGATCTCTTAAAGGTCCTATATTATGCAAAATGGACTCTAGTGAGCTTTAAGCCATGTTATAATGTTGTCACCTCTTCAAAAACAGACCTGGAGTTGTGTTTTGTTTGAGTAAATCTTTATTGTTAGTCTGTCTACATCTCCAAAACTCACTATGCTCTGTTCCACCTTGTCATGATGCAGTAGTTTTCAAGTTAACAGCTTCTTTTACATTTTCTGTAATAGAGATTGGCAGCTCCAGGTCTGAAATGATCCAGATGATTCTAGTGAAGGTGCAAGATGGAACATTGTTTTCTATTTGAGAGAAGAACTCAGCCTAAATATGCAGGATTTGTGTGTTAAATGTGTGTGACTGATACAAAACACAACTCCAGGTATGTTTGTGATGAGGAAACATTATAACATAAATCAAAAAATAGTGTAATATGGGTCAATAGTCAGCGTAGCAGCAACAAAAAGTTACAGGACGATGAAGATATGTTTCGGCCTTGCAGTTATGTCCAATTGTTTAAATCATTCTCTGTTTTTGTCTCAAATTTTTGTTCTCTGGTAATCTCAGGTTCTTCTCAATACCGATCCTTTCTCAAGTAAATTTTGCACCACTATGCCATTAAGTTAAACAAAAAAAAAAAGCTTTATACAATTAGTTGTAGAATAGGTTTAACTGTGAAACTACTTGAAAGTAAAAGTATTCAGCAAAGCCTGTGGCCTAAAGTGTTCTTATAGAGAAAAAGACAAATTTGTTACAATTATGACATTGCTGGCCAATGGTGGAGGACATCTTGAATTAACTTGATGTTGTTTAGGTTAATGATGTACTGTCTGCATGTGTGCAATGTATGCTTTTATTCAACTGTATAGAGCACTAATCACTTAAACATATTCATTAAAACATGAGTCCCAAAGGCTGGACTGGACTGTGTAATATTGTACTTAGAAAACCTGATGGACAGAATAAAAGGTTATTAAAAACTCTATGTTCTGAATGTTGTGTTTATTAAATTATTTAATGCAATGTAAGTTCAGTTGCGATGTTGCTGTTGAAAGCAGATTGGTCTAACAAAGAAAATTTAGCTGTAATTACGCCCGGAGATGCAGTACCCGGAGCAGCCGCTGGGGGCAGTACAGGAGGAGCGGGAGACAGATAAATTGAAGATAATTCCTGATAACAATCACAACAAAATGATCTCATCAAAATGTTTAAGTTCCATCCGCGGGTCGAAAGCCAAGAAACAGAGACGAGGACGTGTTCCGCCTTCAGGGACTCTGGACTGGAGTGTGTTCGTGCAGGTGTCCAACCCACCAATATCCACATTCTTATACTCTGCGCTAAACAGCACAGGTGCTAAAGTGTGCTAAAACATTGTGGCGCTAAGTTTTACTTTTGGCTTCTAGACTCAGTTTCTCTCCTTCGGGCCCAGTCTTTCCCAAACTGCAGAACCGCGGCCCCCTGTTTATCCGAAGATTTACAGCCCTCCTAATAATAATGCATACTCAATTCAAAACAATATTTGATGTTTTCCCCTCAAATGTACTTGTTAACAGTACATATCAAAATGTCCATTGGCTTAATACTGATTTCAAGTAGTAAATGAAGCAAATACATTATGTAAAGTTAAAACTCAACTCAATTTCCTGAGTTTGAAAGAAAATTGAGCCCCCTGTGGTGCCTCTGAGGCCCCCCAGGGGGCCCCGGACCCCACAATGGGAGTTACTATAGCCTAAAAATAAATACTAGGTTACTCCATGTACACTGCTGCAGTTGGCAAGTCAATTCGTCATATATATATTATATCAATAGCAGCAGTCTCTCCCCTGTAAGACTACCGCACAAATAATGCCATTATTATTTTTTACCTATATAACATCTATGTAATATAACCACTCATAACACTATAAACTGTAACATACTTTTAGCTACAATTGCCTGATATAATAAGGGCACTGACAGAGAGTCTGCCCTTCTGAAACAATGCTGCTGCAGCGCAGTTGCACCAGCTCCATCTGAAGAGGAGGAGGAGCAGAGCAATGCACAGATAAAGGAGGAGGGAGGAGTCGCCTGCACTCTGCTGTCAGAACTACTCAGACTCCAGCCGAGGTTCATTGTCATGTTCATTCCCTGTGAAGGCTCTCTCTTCTTTCTTATCAGTTCTCTAATATCTCCAGCATGCTGAGGAGGGGCTCAGAGCTGCGCAGAGGAGACAGAGAAGTCCTGCTGGATCTGGACCATGGGGCAGAAGCACAGACCACAGACTCTTATGGGAGCGTACAGGATGGCAGCTTTATCCCACCTCGATATGTAAGATACTGTTGAGCCTCTCAGTTTTGTTTGTCTTTGTCACTTTGCCTTGTCAGCAAAAAAAAAAAATACTGAGTTCAAATGCTGCTGTCTCGACTCAGTGGCTGCTCACACTGCAGTTAATCAATCATAGTCCTACAGGCTGAGAGGAACTTTTACTGCAATGTTTGTTTTTCAACCCAATACATGTGTCAGAATTATTTGGTGTGTTTTTTTTTTTTTTTGTATGAAGAAGCATGTTTCAGTAAAGTTTGTGTGACATCATTATTATTTATACATATTTTGTTTCAAGATTTAACTGTTAGACCTTTCGCTATAACAAATGTTGAAGTGAGATTTATTGCTGAAGTAAATATAGACGATAAATGATAATATTGAAATTAATTATGCCACTACAATAACCAGATAAAAAATAAATAAATGTACAAAATTGTTAAAAATCTTTAGTATTTAAGATGATTGTGTAATCCCTCAGTGATCCAGGTAGGATCCAAAGCAAAGGAGAAATTAAATTCCACTTTCCAGTTACAGAAGTTACAAAAGTGTCTATGTCTGTTTGTTATTTAGGTCTACTGAACTGTGCTGTGCTGTACTGAAACTGTACCTGAGTCATATTAACATAATAATTCAAGTCCCAGATGGGTACTTTCACACCTCTGCACTCATAAAAACTTTCATCCAGCTGACAGAATTTAATTTCTCCTTTCTCCTTTGCTTTAGTATGTAACTTCTTTACATCATATTGAACTTATTAATTTAACCTTTTATGGTGTAAATCTTATCATATATCCAAAAAATAAAATAACCAAATATTGAACATTAAGTCATTATAGTAAATAATGTGACATGCCTAGTAACAGTGTAATTACAATAAATATCTCTCAGCTCTCAGCTATTACAGCAGAAGATGAGTGCCCCCTAACACAAGTTCAAGACAGGAGAAACCAGCCTCTACTGCAGACTGGGAACTACTTCAGAGATGGAAAAACCAAAATAGGTAACAGCACACTGACAGCTGATTGAGTCACTGCAGTTTGTATGTGAAAATAAGTTTGCGTTGTTATGTTCAGATTTCGTGTTAGTGTGGGAAGTACGATCGCGGAGGAAGAAGAGATCCAAAGCCAAAAACTCCGGGGATCCCAATGCAGAAAGGAGCAGCAGCAAGTCGGAGCAGAGGAGGGCCCAGCTGGAGCAGTGGAGAGACAGATTCACACAAAACCTGCAGGAAACTGGACTACTCATAGAGAAGGCACAGTATCGTTCTATGTGTTTATTTTGTTTATTTTAAAGGGCCTATATTGCACAAAAATGACTCTGAGCTTCAAGATATTTTAGATTTTGTTATTTCATCAAAAGCATACCTGGAGTTGTGTTTTGTTTCATTCACACGTTTCAAGTCATGCTGCAGTCTGTCAACATCTCCAAAGCTCAAAATACTCCACCTTGTGATGTCATGAAGCAGTAGTTTTCAAGTGAACAGCTATGTTTTACTTTTAGTTCAGTATTTTACTGAAAGTGTACAGAGCAAAGTGGAGCACTTGGAGAACTCAGCCTAAATATGCAGAGATTGTGTGAATAAAACACAACTCCAGGTTTATTTTTGATGAGAACATAGACCAGAAAATAGAGTAATATGCAGCCTTTAAACTCTGGTCTAGTTTTTACCAGTGTGTGTGTGTGTGTGTGTGTGTGTGTGTGACTTTATAAAGGAGGAAACAGCCAGTGAGAAGAAGACTGTCCACTTTTTAAAGCTCAGTGCTCCCTGGGATGTGTTGGTGTATTACGCTGAAGAACTCTGTCAAAGAGCCCCTCTGCAGGTAGCGTGGAATCTTCAGTAATGTTTGAAACATCTGTAGTTTGATTATTTTTGTGTTAAAATGTGCTAGTGTAGTATTTTAATTGTTATTGCTTAGTCTGGAATTTTTCACAGTATGGCGTTAAACTTTTCTTGCTTCATGGAGACCAAACCAGACCAAGTTAGAGATCAGATCTGTGGAGAGTCAGCTACGCTCCGTCAGTCAGAATGCCTGTTTTTCTAGGTGTTAATAAATAATAAAACAACCTGTAATTTAATACATGTAAAGTAGAGCTGTTTAATCTCATACTGTGGAACATTTCAGGCAAAAACATACAAGAGACTGACTCCCAAACACAAAGTTACACAAAGCAATAGTCAAATAGTTAAATCAATAGCCATGTGAATTACTCTGAGTAGATATATTTTTTTCCTGCCAGGCACAGCCCCATTTGGACTTGAACACCTCTGCTCGAGTCCTGGACAAACTCTACATACCCAACATCCTGATGGAGTCTGTGCCCAATCGCCCACTGGACTATTACACATGTGCCTTCCGCAAGTCAAAGTTAAACAGGTGGGCTCTGGCATTGATCAAACAGGCTCCATAAAAGATGGGAGTGAAATCAATGCATAAATATGTGTTGTGCAGGTTTCTTGGGAGCGGTGATCAGGAAAACTACTTCACACATACACAGAGACATCGTATGGTGAGTAGTACTGTGACCATGAACTGTCAGCAGGGCTACACTAGTTAATGCTTCTTGGCTTCTTTGAATATTTAAGATTTACCATGGTGACACACTAGACACACCTGACTTTCTCTCCAGCGACTAGGTCAGGAATTGGACTACACGAGATGTTTTGCAAGAACCCCGGAAGTTGTAGACCGCACACTGGCCAATCAGCGAAGAGCTGTGAAGCCATGTCTGGGTCCCTTTTGTGGTACAGCACAACAGTAAACAAAGCGGTCAAGATGGATGTAGATGAAGCCGTATATTCTGTGTTGGCAACGATTCCTGAGATTGATGATTTAAAGCCGAAACAAAGAGAATGTTTGCTGGATTTTATCTAGGGAAAATGTGTTATTGCCCTTTTTCCTACAGGCTTTGGCACGTTACGTACGTCACAACCAAATAGCAGCGATTGGTTAAATGAAAAAAAGTACCTGCCTACCATTGAGCGAACAATTCTAACACTGTGAGGTCAGACAGTTTCCACGAAGTGAAACTAGCTGATGAATCAGGCTAGTGACACACTGCACACTCAAAAAAGATAAGAAAACACAAGAGAAAACACAAAATTGATGTAAACAACACATTTGCAGGAGCCTGTGATCATATTGAGTGTTCATGGTCCTGTTTTGGTGTTTGATTTTGAACAAAAATGATGAGTGAGGTTGGGACTGTAATGTTATTTGAGAGAAATTTGTTTAACAGCACAAATCAGCTCCACTTCGTAGTTAGAGCTAAGTCAGTTCTTCATGGTCAGATTGAAATAGAGCTCAGGTTAAAGTCTAATAAACCCCCAGTCACAGCAGTGCCTTAGTTAGCATCACACCCCCAGGGATATTGATGACATCAGTAGCAAATTATCAATAAAACAATTTGTGAGATATTTTATGTGGGCATTACCAAGAGTCTGGATAAAAATACAGAATAGAAGTAAAACATGTTCATTATACTGTGAATAAGGAATTAAGGGTTAAAGTCCTGTGTGACAAAGCAAAAATTAGAGATAAGATATTTTTCAGTTTTTGTTTTATTTTTGTTTTTTAATTTTGATGACTTAATTTTGGGGGCCTGGGGCAAGAAACCTCAGAAATCTCACATGGGCCCCCCTCTAAGACCCTCTATAAGACCCTGTTTCTGCAAATTCACATTTCTTTCTTCAGCAGCAACTCAGTACATTTACTGAAAACAAAACGGCTGACAAAAATATATAAGTAAAAAGTCTAATAGAGCTTTTTGTTTCAGGTTTACGAGATTCTTGCGAGAACTGTTTACGGCAAAAGGAAGAGAGCTGAGGTTGGCGTGGACAGACTCATAAATGAAGGGGCGTACACGGCAGCTTTCCCCCTGCATGAGGTCAGCTGGATTCACAGATCTGTTTGTGTATGTAAAGTACTATCTAAATGTAAATATACTGCGAGTCTCTCCACACAGGGGCCCTTTGAGCTCCCTGGGTTTGGGGTCCGACCAGAGGAGCTGAACCAGAGACAGGTCCTGTACCACTTCTGGGCTCGCTGGTGCAAATGGTACAAGTACCAGCCTCTAGATCACATCCGGGAGTACTTTGGGGAGAAGATTGCGCTGTACTTTGCCTGGTTGGGTACGTTTATATCTTGAGTATAGACTGTATAAAGAAGTGGACTAAGAGAGTGTGACGTCACCCATAGCATTCAGCTCCAGTCAAACAAAGCTCACAAGTCTAGCAGTTATAGGAGCGAATTTGAAGCCAGTTCCATATTACGGACAAAATAGCAAAATAAATACAGCAGGATCATGTAGAGCGGGTTAATACGATCATCTGAAGACCATAATGACGAGGCTCACTGCAGCAGTTACAGAGACAGAGGTGATAATTTTTCAATGTAAAGTCCGCTGGAGCCAGAGTTGATGGAGCTGGAAACACCCCCATGGTCACTTCCTATTTCTGTGTCCTATGTCCATTCATATATACAGTCCATGATCGATTTACGGATATGGTTTTTTGCATAGCAGATACCAATTGTTTAGAATCCAGAAAGATAAGCTCTGCCAATATTTTTGGGCTGATTTTGATTATTTTCTTCATATTCTGTTTACATTATTATTTAAATCTACTATCAACTCAGTCACAGCCATTTATTTGCCACAAACCTGTAAGAGCGCTGCATAATAACTTTTTGAGCACTTATCTCTTTGGAGTTAAGTGCTCAAATAAAACTTTATGTGTACTCTTTAGGCAGCTGGTTAGCCAAAACCAAATATTGGCCTGTGCTGATTCAAAGGGCCCATATTAGTGTATTCTCTCAAGCAGAAAACAATCTTTTCTACCTCGTGGTGTTGTGTGACAATACAGGAAGTGCACCACTGCTTTTAAACTCCTATTAGACTAGAATCATTAAGATAATTTAAGACCTCAATTTTAATCTCTACTAAACAAAAGGTAAAAGGAGCTGTTAACTTGAAAACCATCATTACATGACATCACAAGGTGGAACAGAGCATTTTGAGCTTTGGAGATGTAGACAGACTAATAATAAAGAATTACTCAAACGTGTGAATGAAATAAAACACATTTCTCCAGGTTTGTTTTTGAGGAGCTAACAGCATTATAACATGACTTAAAGCTCACAAGAATCCATTTTGTGTGATCTAAGACCTAACCACTATATCAGTCTTTCTCCATTTATATCTGTCATGTATTTCTTGATTTTCAACAGAACTCCACACATTTGATTGGTAGTAAAATCTCACATTTTCTCTCCCTTTGAACACAACACAACAGTATGATATAAGAGACAATTGGCTGATCTGATCTTGAGAGCACTGCCCATTAAAAGCAGCTCTACAGTGTAATTGCCCTCCCCACTGCAGTCTAATGGAGTGTGTCTCTGCAGGATTCTACACAACATGGCTTCTGCCGGCCGCCGTGGTGGGAACTCTGGTCTTTGTATCTGGCATCATGACGATGGGCTCCAACATACCAGCGTGGGTACTCAAATAAATGTTATGGCAGACAAAAGACAAACTTTATTGATCCACAAGGGTAATAATCTGGACACATTAGCTCAGACACCACAATAAAATATAATGACAAATAGCAAAAATATAAATGGTAGTAATAAATGTCTTTTTTTTAAACTTGTACATTGGGATGTAACAATAACCAAAATATCATGATATCGTATTGTCAAAAGTCTCACAATAATATCGTGTGCTGTCACAATATATCGAATCACAAGTTCCTTTGCTTAAATGCATGGTTTTATAGAAGCAACAGCTTATAAACATCGGGAACTACATATCCCATGATTCATTTCAGTGCAGACAACATGAATAAATATGTTTTTTACTTGAATTCTTGGGATTATGATGGTAACAATTCACACCATAGTCTTGTCAAAGTATTTTAAAAGCAAAAAAGTGTCCTATCTACAATTATATCAGCCTCTTCAAAATATCGCAATAAATATACCGTGAGATGCATATCGTAATAATATCGTACCGTGGGATTTGGATATCATTATATCCGTACTTGTACATATACATTTATATAATTATGCCTTATTTGACATCAGTTTTTTGCTATTTTTGCTACTTATTTTGAATTTATTATTATCATGTGTGAGCTAATGTTTCCAAATAATTTCCCTTGTGGATCAAAGAAACTGGTCAAATAAGGCATAATTAGACAAATGTATATGTAAAACTAAAAATACAGAAATATAGTAATACATATATCTCGGCTTGATACAAAAGGTGGGTAAGGAGAAACAGTGCAAAGATGAAATAGTGAGTTGTTGTACAGTTGTTACGAGTATGGTATGAATCTATTCCTGTATCTCTCACTTAGTTGGAGCTGTTGGAGACTGTTGGAGAATGAGCTCCTCTGTTGTCATTTATTATGCATTACCTTGCAAATAATAGAAATGCTTTAAGGTTAGTACTGTAAACACCAATTACTGCCACACTTATCACGGTTATAGTGTTAAACTGGCTGCTCATAACATTTATTTATGTGTATTTGAGTGCAAGTCTAGCAGATTGGAGTATTTATAATTGCTAAAACATGGCACACGTAGAGTCAGCACTTTTCAGTTCGATCTTTACTGTGTGGAGCTGACAGCAGTACCTCATCAAATACATGTTTCTCTGTGTGGTCCACCTGCTGCTCGTGTTGAGCCACAGGGACGAGGCTGGTAGAGAAACAAATCAAAGCTGTGGGCTCCGGGAGGCTGTGGGTGGAGAGCAGACATTGATTTGAGCAAAGGAGATGAGCCGCTATAAATGTCTCTGCTGCCCCTCGATAATGGACAATTAGTGAGAAATAATCTGTGGTTCATGAAGCTGTTTGTGAGTGGAGAATTCACTTCATGAATACTGAGCCTTTTATTAACTCGACATAAAACAGTTGTTCTTATCATATTTCCAGTGTGCAAGATCAGGATGACATTTTATCTCTGAAATATTCTCTGACTAAAAGCAGTAAGTATTCTCTGACTAAAAGTGGAGAAGCAACGATATAATACTGGTGTCAGGTATCAACGCTGATAGTGAAAAATGTGCTGGATCAGATAAAGGCTGTCAAGATCTTATCCCAAAATCACATTTTGGTCTATAAACTGTTGTAACAAGATGACTTAATGGCCACGCAGGCTAATTTTCCTCAGTAGACTCATTGGATCATTTTATACAATACATAATATTTGTGTTTAAAGGAAATAATTTATATTGTCAGTCTCTGCACTAGTATCTGTTGGTATCAGGTATTGGCAGATACTTAATGCCCAAGTATCGACATTGGTATCGGAAATGAAAAAGCTGGATTAAAATAACACTAACTAAAATAACACTTTTTTGTGAACAGAGAGGAGATCTGTAACAACGGGAGCAGTTACCTCATGTGTCCTCTTTGTAACACTTGTAAAGCCTGGAACATGTCTGAAATCTGCCCCATGGCCAAGGTAAGAGTTAAATAATTTAGGGTTGTAAGTGTTTGTTTTTACTGTATTAAATTCTTAACTAGTGATTATCTCAAAGGCTTCTGTAATTTGTTTTGTTACAGGTGGGCTACCTGTTTGACCACCCGGGCACAGTGCTCTTCAGTGTGTTCATGTCCTTCTGGGCTGTCACCTTCCTGGAGTACTGGAAAAGAAAGATGGCCACTCTGTCTCATCACTGGGACTGTATGGACTTCCATGAAGAGGAGGTATCAGTTAAAGGGCTCATATTACAACTTCCTGATTTACGTTATAATGTTATTTCCTCATCACAAATATATCTGGAGTTGTGTTTTGTTTCATTCACAAATCCTGCATATTTAGGTTCTTCTCTCTTATAGAAAATACTCACCTTGAGATGTCAAGTGGTAATAAAGAAAGTGTTCCACTTTGGTTTTAAACATGCACCTTCACTTGAATAATTTGGGTAATTTCAGCCCTGAAATTGCCATTCTCTAAAAGGAGCTGTTAACTTGAAAACTACTGCTTCATGACATCACAAGGTGGAACGCAATTTTGTGCTTTGTAGATGTAGACAGATGTTTGACCCTCAATATTTTTAAGTTTTTGAGGAGGTGGCAGCATTGTAACATGGCACAAGAATCAATTTTCTGTAATATAGGACTTATATAAATTAATACAGTACAAATACTGAAGCACAGATTTTGCAAGCGGAAGTGTACTGTAGTTTAGATGTGTTAATGATTATAATTTTATGCTATTTTTTTAAGGAACGCCCTCGCCCTGAGTTTGTTGCCATGGCTCCAATGATGGAAGAAAACCCCGTAACTGGGGTCAAAGAGCCGTACTTTCCAGAGAAGACCAGACTGTCACGGATGTTCACAGGCTCCATGGTCATCATTATGATGGTGAGACTCCGATTCATTAGATAAGTCCAAATGCTGTACTGTACATTATAGTGATTTAATGATCATTATTTGTACTCCATTTTGTATCTTAATATTATAAAAAGTAAACGTTATTACTCTAGATAAACAGGTAGATTTATTTTAATTTTATAACACTGAAACTTCACTAGTGTGGACAACAGTGGCTCAGTTCGCAGTCTCATCCCCTGATCCAAAGGTTTGTGTTCGAATCCCTGTCTGTGTACACTGCTGTGTGAATGTGTATATGAATGGGTGAGTGGTTCCTTGATGTAAAGCGCTTTGAGTGCCTTGAAAGTGGAAAAGTGCTATATAAAAATGTGACCATCTACCATAAAAGTTTTGTTATCTTATGTTACTAACATAATTACTACTTTTTAATATCATATTTTATCTCTCTATTATCTAAATACTTCCATATCTTCTGTCGACATACTGTAGTAGTGAGCCTGTGCACTGTGTTCCAGCTGTGTGTGGTGATGATCTTCCTGGTGACTGTGGTCATGTGTCGTGGAATCATCAGTATCATGATGTTTCACACTGGGAGCCCAGTCCTCAGAACAGAGGTACAGCACCTGCACTGATCTCGTGTAGATACTTTGCACTGACATTACGCTGGGGATGTTCTACATGTATCTCTAATCGTGGTACATTTAGAGGTTACCATAGATCTGACTTAGTTGGAACTACAACAGGTGAGATGATTTGTGCTATTAATCAAGTCTCTCACATATAAAATGATAAAATAGTTACCAGTAAACACCTAAGCAAGACGGTGAACACTCCTATTGATCATCTCCAAAAATGTGTTGATTAAATCTATTTTGTATTTTTATTTTTTCTATTTTTTTATGTGCATTGTGTTACCATGGTAACTGCTGAACATTTCATCAGATACAGAGACATATTTAAAACTCCCAGCTTGATGTCAGTGCAAAGTAACAGTGGTAGTATAGGCACATGCACATCCCTCTTGTTTTATTGTGCTTTCAGGCTGGTACCATTGCAAACATCTGCAGCAGTATAGTGAACCTAGGCCTGATCCTGCTGATGGGGAGGGTCTACACAGCGTTGGCAGAGCAGCTCACTAAATGGGGTAAAGATCGATGCAGCTCTCTGACACCTTTAACTGCAGCCATTAATTATATCAGCGATAAACACAGAGGCCCAAAGTGCAGAGGAAATCTACTGCATTTGGACCAGAACCATAGACTGTATATTTAACTGGCCTTAGCTAACCTGCTGTCCACCACTTTCCAAATAGGAAGTGAGCATGGGGGCGCTTCTGGCTCCATCGATTCTGGCTTCACTTGACTTAACATTGAAAAACTGTCACCTCTCTCTCTCTGTATCTGCTACAGTGAGCCTCGTAATTTTGGTCTTGAAATGTTCATATTAACCCGCTCTAAATGATCCTGGTGTTTTTATTTCACTGTTTTGTCTCTTCCTAATATGGACCTGGCTCCAAATTTGCCATTACTTACTTGCCACTTTTTTATACAGTCTTTGCTTAGAACTCAAGTGAGAAAAAGTGATAAACGCTCCTCGTATGACTTTGGTTCATTTTGTTTTTTGTGTGTTTTCCTTTTGCAGAGATGCACAGGACACAAACCCAATATGACAACGCCTTCATCTTAAAAGTGTTCATCTTTCAGTTTGTTAACTTCTATTCCTCTCCTTTTTATGTGGCTTTCTTCAAAGGCAGGTGAGTCAAATGAGTGAGATTACTAGGGTGACCACCATCTCAAAAGTGATACATGGAGTAATGTAAGAGCATAGATAACGGCAGTAACATCATTATGATTTGAAGTTTTTGTAAAGCACAGTGAGAGATTGTAGTTGTAGCTGATACTTTGCAACTGATGTCATCAACATTTCCATTTCTGAAATCTGAAACTCTGTTGTTCAAGTTAGTCTTTAATCTGAACTTAATTTTAACACAGTCTGACCAGAAAGAGCTGGTTTAGTTGGAACTATAACAGGTGAACAACTTTCTCACACACAGGTAGCATTAACCGTTGTTCAGTTCTAAAAATCAAACACCTCAGCAGGACCATGGACGCTCAAATTGATCACAGGCTCCTGAAAATGTGTTGTTTAAATCCATTTTGTCTTGAGTTTTCAACATTTAAACTTTTTTGGCAGTGTTTACTAATGTGTGCATTGTGTTACTATGGTAACTGATGAACATTGTGCCATACACATACATGTAGAACACCCCCCACGTGATGTCACTGCAAAGTATCAATAGGTGGGACAAAAAGTCAAAAAATCTGTGTAAACATAGGGACATGTGTTTACCCTGACTGTTACCTTTAATGAGATGTTTTGCCATGTGAATGCAGGTTTGTGGGGTATCCCACCAACTATGGCACTTTGTTTGGAATGAGAAATGAAGATGTGAGTCCATCCTCCTCCACAGATAAACACTTGATATAATGTGCTGTTAATGAAAGCTGTCTGTCTTGTCCAGTGTGGTCCTGGCGGCTGTCTCATTGAACTGGCAGAACAGCTCTTCATCATCATGGTGGGAAAGCAACTTATCAACAACGTTCAAGAGTTCATCCTCCCGTATGTTTTGGCACAGTGCTTTACTGTTTTATCACATATTAAATATTAAATATGTGACTACAGGTAAAACTCAAGTGAGACATAAAACAGAACTTAAGTGAAACATATAAAGCTATAATATGACAAATTGTGAACACAGATCATCTATTACTCCTGAATAATAATTTCCAAAAATACTGCTTTACTCTTTCTTGGACCACCACTTTGTAGGAATGTAACAATAACTGAAATATTGTAATAGTATATTGTTAGACTCACAATAATATAATGGGCCATCACATATCGTTCATATATCAAACTACAAGTCTCTTTGCTTAAATAAATTTTTATGGTTCAACAACAGAACAACAACAAAAAACAGAAGGAACTACATAGACCATGATCCTTTGCCCTGTTTCAATAAACTAGATGAAAAAACATCTGTTATTAAGCACTTTAAAATCATTATTCTTTGAATTAGCACAGAGCATTTTTTATGAGAAAAAAGTAGCATAGCCTCCACAAAATATTGCAATAAATATCGGATCGTGAGATGCACGTTGTGAAAATATCGTACAGAGAGATTTGGATATTGTTGCATCCCTACTACTTTGTACTTACAGTTAAATCATTTTAATGTGAGTGATACTTTTACTTGAGTACAACTTTTAGTTGCACTTGCACCTCTAAATAGTACAGGTGAGTTCAGAGCCGCTCATTTTTGACCATGTCTTCACAGGAAAATGAAGGCCTGGAAGCAGAAGAGGACGCTGGAGAAGGTGCTGGGGGGTAAAGGAGATCGTGAGCTCCAGCACTGGGAGGAGGACTACCAACTGCTGGAATGTGAAGGGCTCTTTGAGGAGTATCTGGAAATGGGTAATTATGATTGTGTATTAGTTGTTCTTATGGGCATAGGCCTGTCATGATAACAAATGATCAAGTCTAATATATTCCTGAGTAAACATAAGATAAACAATAATACTGAAACTTATGCCACTGATACAAAAACCCAAGAACAGATTTAAACAACAGTAACTGTTCTAAATCTACAATGTTGTTAAAAAAAATCATGAGCTGTGATAAATAAACAGTGGAATGATACTCTTTATAGTTGCTAGTTTGCCTTTGTAATGAGTCTTAGAAGTTATTAGTTCAATCTTTTATGGCATTAATCTTATTGTGTAGTCAAGAAATAACCATAATTTCCCCAGTAGTGCAAAGAAAAAGTACACACGATAAATTTTGACCCCAAATTTTTGTTCCAGCTTTCATGTATTGAACTGAAATATTGATGACAAACTGAATACATGTACTGAGAATACTTGTTCTGAATACACATATTGAGTAACTGTATTTTGGTACAGTTGGTGGTATTGAAAATACAGTTACTTTTCTAAAATAAAAATAATATTTGACGGTACCTGGTCACAGAATTTATCAAACTGCACATAACTAGTGAAAAAAATAGAAAACTCTGTTCTGGAGGTGACTGCAAGTGTAATTCTTCCTTCTGTAGTTAGCGAAAGGAAATACATAATTGAAAGTGAAACAAATATAGAGCCATTTTTAATCCTATGTTGCGTCTTTACTATATTTTATATGTGAATTGATATAAAAGTATTCTGAATACAATACTCTGATTGGCCCATGTAACAGAATATGTTACAAAATACATTTTAATGCAGGTATTTAGTATTTTGTTAATAAATACATTTATATTTACATTTTTATTTTTTTAAGTTGGTGTTATTCATTTATTTATTTATTTATTTTTACTTTATTGACTTTCAATTTAAACAAAACATACAATGAAGACAACAGTGACAAGGACAAGTTTACTACTTAATACATTTTTACACTATTCTTCCCATCACTGGTTGTGTTACAGTTCTCCAGTTTGGTTTCATCACCATCTTTGTGGCAGCCTTCCCTCTGGCTCCTCTGTTTGCTCTCCTTAACAACTGGGTGGAGATCCGCCTGGACGCTCACAAGTTTGTGTGTGAATATCGCCGCCCAGTGGCCGAACGAGCGCAGAACATCGGAGTGTGGTTTAACATCTTGGAGGCCCTGTCACACCTCTCTGTCATCGCCAATGTAAGAAATAACATGATGCAGTTTACTCAGCATTTAATTTTCACTTGTACATTTTTATAATTTGCTTTATTTGATACCAGTTTCTTGCTATTTATTTTGCTCTTTGTTATTATATTTATTGTGATGTGTGAACTACTGTGTCCAGATAATTTTCCTTGTGGATGAGTTAAGTTAATATTAAGTCTAATTCTATGTTTAGCCACTAAAACATTAAAGGTGCATTGTGTAACTTTTCTGGAGGTGCAATTATTATTATTTTTTTATGGAGATGTTATTGCCTTGTCTAGAATGTTTCAGTATATGGCATTAAACCTTTCTGTCTTCATGGATATCAAACCAGACCAACGAATAGGTCAGATCTGTGGGGAGGTGACCCTGTCAGAATGTATTTTTGAGCTATTAAACCACCTGTAATTCAAAAAATGTAAGATAGAGTTGTTTACTGTGAAGCAGGTGACAGACTCTAACCAAAAAGTTACACAGTGCACCTTTAATAGTACTAGCTATGTTTTCTTTTCACTCCACAGGCCTTCCTGATAGCCTTCACATCAGAGTTCTTACCTCGTTTGCTGTATCAGTTCAAGTTTGACAACAATCTACATGGATATGTCAACTTCTCCTTGGCTTATGCCCCACTCAACTACACTGAATACCCTCTGTGCAGGTTTGACTGTTCCTCTCGTTCATGTCTGATATTCATAAGGGACTAGGGGTGTGCAAAAATATTGAAATATTGATATATATCATATTGTTTGTGTGATGATACAGTATCGTGGGCTGCTGTATCAAGATATTGCAAAGAGTATTTTTACCTCCGCCAAGGAGGTTATGTTTTTGCCGGCGTTTGTCTGTGTGTTTGTTTGTTTGTTTGTTTGTTTGTCTGTTAGCAACATAACTCAAAAAGTTATGGACCGATTTTGATGAAATTTTCAGAATTAGTTGGAAATGTGAAAAGGAAGAACTGATTTCATTTTGTGGGTGATCCGGAAGAAATCCTGGATTCTGGATCACTTTGAAATTTTAGTTAACATTGTGGTAAATGGGGCCAAAAATTTTGTTTCTCAATATCTCGGTTAATTATTGACCAAACCCCATGAAATTTGACTCAAGGATGGACAATGGGATCCTCTTTCATATTCCAAAGGCTGATCCGGATCTGATCCAGAAGACTGATTTTATCGCAATTTATATAAAAAATGGGGGTAGTCCTTGGCGGAGGTCTGCGCTCTCTGAGTGCTTTTCTAGTTTGGTATCTTTTATCTTTTTAAGATTATTTTGTTGCAGAGGAAGGAAACTCATTTATGTGACACATTTGACATTTTCTCTGTTTTGATGGGTAAAATAGGTGTGTTTCATATTCATTTTGCACAAGAAATGGTTAAGACTTTTGATATCACAACCTTCATTTAGCCATTATTTCTTATTGAAATGTATTGAATTGATTTGACATATATCGTATTGAATCTAAAGCTTACTTTATCGAGATGTATCGTATCGTGGCCTATGTATTGAGGTTTGTATCGCATCAGTAACTTCTTGGCAGTACCCAACCCTATTACGGACCGATCTCTGCTTTCAAATATCAGTTCAGTCGATATCCTGGTTGGAAACACAGATTTATGTAATAAGACAATTTACAGGTTGTATTTAGCCCTGAAAGGTCTGAATTTTTATTTACTCAAAGCTATTCTTTAGTTACTTGAAAGACAAATAACAGCTACATAACACGGATCAGTTTTGTCATATGTTGGTTTTGTCTAAATGCTATAATCAGTCTCTGCACGGCTATCTGTTGATATTGTCAGATTCTTAAAGCCATAGTATCGGTACCAGAACTGAAAAAGCTGAATCGGTGCATCCCTAGTATTCATTATGAGGGCTTTACATTTGCATTTAAATTGTGTGTTTGCAGATATAAGGCCTTCAGAGATAACAATGGAAGCTACACATTGTTCTACTGGGAGCTGCTTGCAGTCAGACTGGGATTTATCATCGCTTTTGAGGTACAATGCTGCATAAATAACTCTGATCTATATAATCATAGCGCTCAGTTCCAGTCAAATGTTCCTTATTAGGAATAGGAATTTATTTATGTACAAAACAGTGAAATAAAAACTAGTGCTGTCATGCGATTAAAAAAATTGAGAGATTAATTAATTATGATCTGTAATTAATTAATCTAATTAATTTCATTTTAATCTCACCTAAAAATTGCTGAGAAAAGCCTTCAATTTGAGGTATTTTCATTTAAATTCATTATTACATTATTGTGGCAGATCAAAAGACTGATATAGAACAAAAAAAAGTGACTTTATAAAGTCATTTATTGTTTAACAAATCTCTCCAAATTGGTTGTTGAGCCCAAGTCTCCATGAATAAGAAACTGTTTGCTGTAAAGTAGCAAAGACGAGGAAATCTGAACATAATAACTTTTGTCTCCTTAAGGAAATAAAAAGACAATAAAAAGTCCAGTCTTTCCTTAACCATATTAAAAATATTATTGATAGAAAAATGCTTTCTATATGAGATCACTGGTTTTAGTCCTTGTTTTAGTCCTTGTTTTAGTCCTGGTTTAGACCTGCTTTAGTCCTACTTTAGTCCTAGTTTAGTCCTGGAATGGATTAATCCTGGATTTAGTCCTGGTGTTATTTTTGGTTTAGACCTGGTTTAGTCCTGGTTTAGACCTGGTTTTAGTTCTGGTTTAGTCCTGGTTTAGTTCTGGACTGGATTAGTCCTGGTTTTAGTCTTGGTGTTAGTTCTGGTTTAGAGGCGCGCAGGAGGAAGCGCGGGTTAAGCAGCGTACGCGAGAAAACACGATCCACACACGGCTCACGGGAGCACGTCGGTGTCCGCGCAGTAACTGCGGAAGGAAACGTGGTCCGCGCGTTCTCAGGTTAATGACGATGATGAAGGTGTGTGTTTGTTTGTGTTTGTGTGTTTGTGTGTGTTTGTGTGTGTGTCCCCTCATGTGGCAGGTCACTATAGGACAGTAGTGCAGACATCATGAGCCTATGCAGGTTGTTTTCACCAGTGACATTTAAGTTGTAGGCGATTTTATATTTGTTATTTTTATTTATATTTCACGTCGGGAGAATAATTTCCAAGACACAAATGTGTTTTTACCTGTGCACCTGTTCTACTGGCTTTTCGACCTCGTCAATTGTGTGACTGACGCCGCAAACGTGAACATGACGTTTACATCGCTCTTACTGCGCGCGTTTTGTGTGGGTTTCCGGCAATGAGTGGAATTACCGAAATAAAAAAATGTATAAATGTGTTGTTTTTTTTGTGTGTGTGTGTTGTTGTTGTCCCAACAACAAATAAAAACAGGTTTTATAATAAAGCAACTCACATACAGAAACACTAAAGTTAGAGATTAAAAATGAGATTAACGCGATTAAAAAACATAACGCGCTAAATATGACTGTAATTAATTAATCGCAATTAACGCGATAATTTGACACCCCTAATAAAAACCCCAGGATTATGTAAAGCAGGTTAATACACATTTTAAGACCAAAATGGCTCACTGTAGCAGTTACAGAGAGAGGGGTGACAATTTTTCAATGTAAAGGCAATTGGAAACAGACGGTGAAACCAGAAGCGCCCCATCCTCACGTTAGCTATGTCCATTTATATATACAGTACATGGATAGAGGCTTGATCTTCCTCTCCCTACAGTAATTTTATTTTTAGCCATAGCTGTATTTACCAATGAGACATACAGTACTTCTCTCACTCATAGCATTTAGTCTGGACAAGTACCTCTACTATATAACACAACATATTACCATAATAAATCCACACTGTCTACTGGATCGTTTAGAAATCATATTCATCCTTTACTTAGGCCTGTCACAATAACACATTTTGAAGCACTATATATTTCTACCAAGATACACTGCACTAAACAACAACATTGAAACTAATGTATGCCACTGATACAATATCAATACTGATAATCTTTATAAACCATTAAAAAACTGTACAACTCATCCTTATGTAACAGATATGTCTGTGTTTGTGTCAATCATCGTATCATCTTTGCACTGTTTCCTTATGACCTTTTCACTATAGCTGTGATATACTGTATTTATATTATATTTTTTACTACTTATTTAGAAGTTTATTACCTTTTTTTTAAATATTGTTTTACTCTGTGTTATTTTAATATAATGTGATGTGTGAGCTGCTGTGTCCAAGTGATTTCTCTCGTGGATCATTAAAATCTGTCAAAGTCTAAGTCTTAACCATGAGCTGCAACAAATAAATAGCAGAATAAATCAAAAATTATCTGTAGAAGTTAGTTATTCAGCCCACTACAGCTTAAATGTTAGTGTATTACAACAAAAATACCCCAAATCTCCCCACTTTTTACAAAGAAAATTGTAGACGTGTAAATTTTGAACCACAAAATATATAGTTCCAGCTTTCATACATTGAATGATAAGTTGATATAGTGGTTGTCGTGACAGATCTACTTTTAATCTAAATATATGTTCTATACTAACAGTCTTCTTGCCCTCTTGCCCTGCAGCATGTGGTCTTCTTTGTGCTAAGGGCCATTGACTGGATCGTGCCCGATGTCCCAGAGTCTTTGGAGCTGAAGATGAAGAGGGAGCGGTATCTGGCCAAACAGGCGCTGGCTGAGAACCAGGAGGCTCTGCTGGTGAGTCGTGTCCGAGGAAGGGGCTCTGGGACCGGCTTTGGAGGCTCCAGCACAGGTCAGTCTAACACAGGGCACACAACACACTCTTACTGCTATGTGCTTTATGTTTATACACGTTTTCATTCAGTTTTCTTATGTATCATACCATCTGAAAGCAACACTGTGTAACTCTCTGAAGGCGGCGCGTCATCTGTATTTCTCCATGGAGGTAAAATAACAGAACGTACATTAACATTTGTGCCATAGATGCGTTTTATGCCATAGAGAGTGAGATAGTAGCTCAGGGGCGGCAGTAGTTTAATTGGTAGCGCGTTTGTTCAGTAATCTGAAAGTTTGCGGTTCAAATCCCTCTGCTGAGGTTGTGTCCTTGGACAAGACACTTAACCCACCTCCTCCCAGTGTCTGCGTATACTGGTGTATGAATTTGTATAGGAATGTGTGAGTGGTTCCTTCATGTGAAGTATTTTGAGTGCCTTGAATGTGGAAAAGTGCTACATAAAAATGTGACCATTGACCATTTAGATAGATCGGGGTGGACAATTATTTTCTCCATGGGATCACATGAGAAACAGAAAATATTGTGGAGGGCTAGGCCAAAACGCTTAACTCAGTTCTGCATAATATTAATTGTATTTCTTTATTAAAAGCAGCAAATAGGATTGTTTTGACAAGCTGGTAAGGGTTTATGTCATGACTTAGCAATGAAAAAATTATGTTGCTTTACAAAAAAAATGGGGGAAAAAACACCTCTAAAATAAAAGCATGTAGCTTAGTCCATGCTTGAGGTAAAATTATAAAATATGTTTATTTTATAATTCCAAATGAGCTTAATCGCGACAATCAGTCAACCAAAGGGCCATATCTGGGCTGGGAACTGTACAGGATTGATGATAGATGGACAGACATTTTATTGGTCCCAAAGGAAATTCAGAGTTCAGCAGCAGCTTCATAGAAACAAACATAGCAACATAGAAAATGTATTTAAAGTTAGCAGTCCATTCTCTTCTATAAGTACATATACAGTGTGGCCAAAGGATAATTTTTATAGATTAAAATACGAGTTAGTTTTGTGGAGACACAACAGTAAGGACGAATGTTTTTCCAAAATTTTCGTTGCAATAAAAACATCCAAAATGCAAAACAAATATTTTCTTTTAATCTTTTTTTGTCTGAAAAGTTACACGGTGGGGCTTCAAGGATTCTTTTTCTTTGCTCACATCATCAGCCACAAATTGCATGTAAAGTGTTGAGTTATGTACGGTAAGACATTTTATAGCCATACATAGCCATATTCTGTACAGTGTTTTCATGCTAGCTGTCATGGTAGTAAAGGTTCATTACATAACTCATTTAGTGTGTGAAGAGCAGAGTAAATTCCACACTTTAAAGCCCTTCATATCTACACTCCACAGACCACAGCACCTGCCCTTTCATGAGCTATCATAACTTCACACTGCACGCAACATTACCATTAGAGCTAATAGCTGTGAGATCCCAGCCAGATAATATTTCAGACAATTGCTTAAAAGTTGTATGGGTTGTTGAGTTTTGCTGTTTTTCATTATTTAAAGCATCCATATTACGCTACTTTCTATGTTATAATGTTTCCTCATCACAAACATATAACAGAGAATTTGAGCTTTATGTAGACAGACTAATAATAAAGTGTTACTCAAACGTGTGAATTAAACAAAACGTAACTCCAGGTCTGTTTTTGATGAGGTAACAAAATTCTAACGTAATATAATAAAGCTCAGAGGAGTCTATTTTGTGTAATATAGGACCTTTAAACATGATTTTTGTCTCATAATCATGTCCTCAGTGATGTCTTTGTTTAGAAAGACCAGCTTGGCTTTATGTTCATCTGTGATTGTGTGTCCTGTGCTGTGACCCGTGGTGTTGTGTTCCTTTTTATACTTTTCAATACTTTAATTAAAAAAACATAGGTGAGTATTCAGCATGTAAGTATCTTAAGCTGATCACAAAAGTATCTTAATTCTAAAGTGAGAATTATGGTAATAATAGTACACAAAAGATGAATGTGCTCATCCACAAGAAAGGAACTCTATACGTTTTTATCTTATATTTATCTTGATTTTTCAATGTTCTTCCGTTTTAAATGTTAAAATTCAAGTACATTTGACAGATTCATATATTTTTCTAATTATTCCATAGTTTGGTGGGATGGTACCTAAATATCTATCATACATTTAGTAAAGTGAACTGTCTGTGTTCATTTGGAAAGTAAAATTATAAATCACTTAAATAAAAAAAGATTAGGCAAGATTTTTTTGTAAAATCTTAAATCTAATGATGTTAACTTTGTTTTAGAGAAATTAGTAGTCTAACCTGTTTTATGCACTTTAAGTAACTCTGACTCAATATAAACTGTATCTCAATTTTCTCATTTTTTTCTTACAGTACAAATGCAATAATAATACAGTATAATACAGTACAGTACAATATTATAATAAATACTAGTTAGTTTTAGTCATATGGTACTTACATATCTCAAAACATTAACCACTATTTTCAGTTTTAGTTCTCAACTTAATAGTAGCTGTATCTTTTTTTAATTTCAGTGAGCGACCAGTTAATTACTGTATAAGCTGTAACTCAGCAAGCCCTGACAAATCTCCTCTGCCTCAGCTCTTTTACTTTATGTAACATACAGTACTCAGGAGTGTGAACACTAATTTCTCTCCCTCTCTCTCTCTCTCTCTCTCTGTCTCTCTCTGTCTCTCATTCCTTCTCCGTCCACTGCCCCTGAAGCAAGCGACGTGTCCCTGGGAAACCTGAGTTAGAACTGGACTGAAAAAGAGAAATAAGACACTGCTGTGCATCTGAAACATCTGTTAATTTAGCTGTTCGAAAGCACAGTGTGTGGTTCAGTGCAGGTTCATATTGAGACAAAATAAGTTACATTCAGGTATCACTCTTTTCATTATTTCATATTGCAAACTTAAGACTGTTAAAAATCACACTGTCCATATTTTCATCTCCTGATCTTCTCAATAGCATGGTTTACATTTACTATTACAATGTTAAAGGTGAACGTGTATTTTTCTGGTGTGTTCCATCATCTGCCCATGGATATGTTTTTGCTGGGAATGTTCCACAGTATGGCATTAAACTTATCTGGCTTGCCTTAAAACCGTGCTTTCTTAATTTAAATGGGGTCGTGTTGCAGATTTATGACTTGTAACCTGGTACTACTACTTCTCTGTCTCGTCTCTGTGGAAATAGATATGTTTAATGCCAGACTGGAACATTTTATGCCAAGCAATAACATCATATAGCACCAAGCATGTGGCGGACCCTCCACTTCAATATTTACATTATGCATCTTTTCCTTCCTCTTTAATTCTTGAATGAAACTTTCTTCTATGATGTCTTATCTTCTTTTCTCTTTTTTACTCTCACAACACATTATGTAATGCAGTAACTCGCTCTAAGTCCCAAATAATTGTTGATGCCTGCTGGACTAAGTGACAGCATTTCCACTAGAATGGCAGGTGATCTAATTCTGTTTTATTTATAGACCCTTTAAAATATGTGAACAAAAACAATCTAAATTCGAAGATAGAGGCAACTGGAGGCAAAAGTGAAGCGGAACATAGTGTGATTTCAATGGGAAAACCGGGATTTATCATGGAATATCACAAAATATGAAAAAACAAAAGAAATCTGGCAAATGAAAACCACTCAGATACACGTGAGTAAAGTCTGGTTTAAAATCATTTACAGTTGTGTTTTACGTTATTTGTTCATTTAAGAAGAGATTATGATAGATATTAAATATATCTGACAAAGGAAAATTCCAGATTTTTAGGTTTTACTGGACAAATCCTTACAGAAAATGTGAGTTTACAATAGTTTGCCACTTCTACAGATATATTACACATTTTATCATAAATTACCCTTTTTGTGAAGCTCAAATATAATTTTGAGGTTAGAAAATTGTGTTTTTCCATCCTTCTATCCTAACAGAGAATCAAATTAAATATAATATGTGTACCTTGGAAATTCAAAATTGTTATTTTTTGTTATAATGTTGGAATTTAAAACCATTAACATGTAGATCTGTTAATCAGGTAATCATTGAAACTGTAATATGTCTGCTTAATTTTCCTCCAAAATTTTTAACATTGTGATGACAGGGTTTTAAAGGGTCTATATTATTATGTATTATTTAGGTGTATCATTATTATGTATTATTATGATGTATCATTATTATGCCAAGTGTAAGAAAAGCCTTTAGTATTACTACACAGTTCTGAATGTAGTAACGCTAAAAGTCCTTGAATGTGAGAATGTCTGCTAGCCTTGAGTGCGCTAAGGGCATTAGCTAATGCTGTTTACAGTCAACAGATGATGGCATGTCTATCCTCTCTTTGCACAATGTTTATATGAAGTCTTCCTGGTTACTGTAAAAAAAAAAAAAAAAAAAAAAATCTTAACTCAATACGAGATGGTTTCATTTTGGTTGTAATGAGAACTTGGCTTTTTTGTATTATAAACCTTTTAAAGGGCCCATATTACGCTGTTTTCTGATCTATGTTATAATGTTGTGTCCTCATCACAAACAGACCTGGAGTTGTGTTTTGTTTCATTCACACATGTTTCAATAGCAAGGACCATGCCACAACAATGGAATACGATAAAGATATTTATTGATGGTGGATAGATGCTGGGGGGGAACTCAGGCTGGTGGCGCCGTCTCCAATCCAAAATGGTCACCCAGCTGATTCAGGACCCCTCCTCCTTAAAGATGTCTTCAGGCTGAAGGATGGACGAGAGACAAGGGGAGGGGTGGTTGAGAGAGCTGACATGTACGGTGTTGTCAGGATGGCCGTATAGATAGGGCTTCTGGGTAATTGAAGCTGAGTTCTTCTCTAAAACAAAAACGACTCTGTTACACCTTGTGATGTCATTTATTTTTCAGTACCTCAGAGCATTTAGATTTTTGGAGATGTAGACAGACGAATAAAAGTGTTACTCAAACATGTGTGAATGAAACAAAACACAACTCCAGGTCTGTTTTTGTTGAGTTGACAACATTATAACATGGCTTGAAGCTCAAAGAGTCAATTTTGCATAATATAGGACCTTTAAGGACAAATAAATCTTGTCTTGAGGAATGCAGACGGTGAACTGTCAACGCTTAATTTGATTTGCCTTTCATTTTGAGCTGCTCTTAGACTCACCTCTACAGACCGGCTTACAGCACAGATTTATTACACAGAGACTCAGTACCAGACAGGTGTTCCTTAATGATTTCTCTCTTCCTCTCCCCCAAAACTCGGCCTTGGGCAACTCCTGACTTTTTACTTTCCTGCTACTTCCTGCTTTGCTCCAATCTCTTATTTCAGCGTTTCAGAATAAATGCTACTGTCCGTGTAAGCCTTAAGTGTATTGGCGGCATCTCTTCATAGTTAAGATTACACCATGGTCCTCTGCTGCTGAAAGAGTGTGTTTGTACATGTTAGTGAGGAAGAAAGTATGCACAGGTCCACCGGCCACTGAGAGGTAACATCACACTCACACACACACACACACACACACACACGCATGATGATAAGGGTGGGCAAGACTGACAGTAATTAAAGGGCCCATATTACACTATTTTCTCAACTCGGTTATAATGTTTCATCATCAAAAACATACCTGGAGTTGTGTTTTGTTTCATTCACATATGTTTAACCTGCAAATCCTGCATATTTAGGCTCAGTTCTTCTCTAACACTGAAAACACTTTGTTCCACCTCTCTACTGAACTGAGGTAACTGCATGGCTTAAATCTCACAAGAGTCAATTTTGCGTAATTTTGGACCTTTGAGAAGAAGTTCTTTTGGATTCTCATAACAATAATTAGATGAGGAAACAACATTATAACAGAATAATCAGAAAATAGAGTAATATGGGCCCTGTTGTGTATGTTAACTGTGTCTTATGTTCTAGTCCTGGTTTAGTCCTGCTATAGTCCAGGTTTAGTCCCAATTTGTAAGCCAGTGTAAACATGCCCTAAATATGATTTCTGAGGTTCAAGATATTAAAATGTCATTAAGCACTAAAATAAACTCAACAAATCCTCTACTATTTAGCTAAAGCAGGAAAACCAGGATTAGCCCCAACATGTATTTTGTTGCATCATACAGTTTGATTTATGATTGTGGTTGGCCCTAGTATTAGTTTTAGTTGTAGTTTTTTCTCTGATGTTTTTGTATTTTTGGCATCTGTTAAAGAGCCCATATTAACATATTTTCTGATCTATGTTATAAAGTTGTTTCCTTATCAAATACCTGGAGTTGTTTTGTTTCATTCACGCATATTTACCACACAAATCCTGTATATTTAGGCTCTCAAATAGAAAACTAATGTCAGGTGGTAATATAGGAACTGCTCCACTGTGTTTTTAAACTCCATACATCTTCACTAGAAACATTGGATCATTTCAGTCCTGCCAGGCTCTAGTCAACTAAAGGTAAAAAGTAGCTTGAGTAACTTAAAAACTACTCCTACATTACATCACAAGGTAGAATAGAGCATTTTGACCTTTGTAGACATACTAATAATAAAGTGTTACTCAAACGTGTGAAAGAAACAAAACACAACTCCAGGTATGTTTTTGATGAGGTAACAACATTATAATATGGCTTAAAGCTGAGTCAATTTTATGTGATATAGGACCGTTAAAAGTTGGTAAGGAAAAAAAAGGCATTGCTCACAGTCTTGGTTTTCTTAACATCAATGCAGGAGGCTGGTTAACAACATGGTTAAAATTCTTTATCAGTGTGGAATTTGAAAAACAAATATGGGAATCCTGGTGACCTGTTTTGTCTCTCTTAGAAAATGGGATAATTATGCTCGTGCCAGTGGTGTCCCAAAGTAACCTGACCTGATTCCCCCACTTTTCACTTCTGATTAGTGAACCAGTTTGATGCAAGCACTGAACAGCACGACAGAGACTGAGAATGTCTGAGTCCTGCCAGAACCGCACGGCAACAGCGTTTGAGAAGAGCAAAGGAGTGTGTAATCAGGCCTGTCGACAGAAATTTGTGGGCCCAGGACCAGAAACTTCACATGGGCCCCCCCCTATAATATTAATTAATAGGCAGAGCTTCCAATTCTTGGTCCTTAAGACTCTGCCCTGCTCACTCCTCCGCTAGACAAATCCCAGTGTGTGATTATTAAGAATAGATCTTTTCTCATGGACACATTCAAGCTAAATTCAAGTGTTTTTAGTTTAGTTTTAGTGTTATTTTCTATGGTCTGGGAAAAGAAATCTGTTAACAATAACTTTCAGCATCAATCAGTCTTTATTTATAGAGCTTTTTACAACATACAAGGTAACCCGAGTGCTTTTCCAATCAAATCAAATTCCAAAACAATACAAAAATTAGCAAAACATAAAAGGTCTTATATTATGCAAATTTGACTGTTCCCTCCTCAAAAACATACCTGGTTGTGTTTTGTTTCATTCGCACATATTTGAGTAATCCTGCATTATTAGTTTGTCTATATTCCCAAAGCTCAATATGCTCTGTTCCACCTTATGATGTCATGTAGTGGTCTATCTTTTACCTTTAAAAATATGTTGGGACACTTCTTGTATTACAACTTCACAAGTATCACAAGATGGAACAGGGTTTTCTGTTTTTCAGAGAGAAGAACTACAAGCCTACTAAGCCTAAATATCCAGAATTTAAGTGTTAAACGTGTGATTGAAACAAAACACAACTCCAGGTCTGTTTGTGACAAGGACACATTATTACATGGATCAGAAAACAGTGTAATATGGGCCCTTTAACTACCAGAAGTTCCTTGAGGTCAAAGCCAAGTCGGCTTTACCAATATTTTCACTGTGCATGTACAAACCTTTATCCAATGCTTCTTCCTTGTGTCTGAGCAGGTGCTGGAATGAGACACTAAATAACTATTAGAGTTGAAGGAAGGGCACTGGAGGGGGAGGAGACAGGGGCCGAGCAAGCACTTCCAACAGTAGCAGAGAGAGAGAGGGAGAGAGCGAGGGAGGGAGGGATAGCGTCGCACACTGGGGCTCTGCATTGTAAGTGGCTCTTCAGAAGCAAGTGGAAGCTGTTTTCAAAGTGTTTTTGTTTTCCAGAGGTGGACGAGAATTGTGGTCCGATTGCAAGCAGGAGGACAGCACAGAGGAGCCCCACAGCACTGTCTCCAAAGGGTTAAACAGAGAGAACCAAAGCAGTGAAACAAGCTGTGAACAAGATTGAAGAAGCCAGGAGGAACACAAGGCAGCAATGGATACCCAAGTGGCTCTTTCTGACCTCGCCATGGCCTGGATTCACGCAGTTCTGTTGGACGGACGCCAGCACACACACTAGGATACCAGTGTCAATGAGGTATACATCTCCTGACAACACAAACTATTTATTGTTTTAATTCCCTGTGAAAGTTTGAACTGCTAGAGGCTGTATTATCTCGGCTTTGGGGGAAAGTATTGGAGCTCCCAGTCAGGTGCACAGGATTTGTTATGACAGCATGAATGCTTAGTTAGATTTTCTGCATGTGGGACAGAGGAAACAGCTCACGAGTAAAGCCGAAAACTAGGCTGCTTGAGAATTTAGGTCTGTCATGATAATTACTATATGACTTCAATATATGAAAGTTGGAACGGTATTTTTGTGGGTCAGTATTTATTGTGTGTACTTTGTCTTTGCACTTCTGGAAAGTTTTTAGTTATTTTATGGCTATATGATAAGATTTAAACCATAAAAGGTTTAAATAATCACTTCTATGACGCATTATAGATGCAAACTAACTGCTTAAGTTTCATTTTGCTGTTTTTTTTTTAATTGATTTTTTAACAATATTGTGCATTTAGATTAGATTTTGTGGTTTAAATCTGCTCACATTTTTGTGTTAGTGGCATAAATTGGTTTTAATATTATTGTTTATCATCTATATTTACTTTGGCAATATATTGTGCTTCAAATTTTGATATGGTGATATGGTGGTTTGATATGTATAATTATATTCTGGGTATTTGTCAAAACATTTTAAAGGTGCACAGTGTAACTTTTCTCGTGGAGGGTCCGTCAGATTTCTTCATGGAGATGTTATTGCTTTGTCTGGAATCTTTCACAGTATGGTGCTAAACCTTTTTATCTTCATGGAGACCAAACCAGACCACGTTAAATGCCTGTTTTTCTAGGTATTTTTGAGCTATAAAATCATCTGTAATAGAAAAAATATAAAGTAGAGTCATAGTGTTGAAAATTCCAGGCAAAGCTGTGACATATCCATAGAAATAATCAGGTGACAGACCCCAAACTAAAAATTGTTTGATGAACTTTTATTATAACCTATTTTGTTAAATGGGGCAGTTCTGCTTTCTCTTCAACAGAAAGTAGTTTTAAAAGAGGAAACATTAGATTAGAAAATAACCGTAGCGATGGATCAATTGAAGCAAATCTTGAGACATCCAGGAGCAATCAGCAACTGACTCAGAACAACAACAAAAAAATGTAATAGGCCCAGTTGCAATGGTTTAAAATGCACTTGTAGACGCTTAAAGCTGCACTGTGTACATTTTTGCAGCACCATCACCTGCTTGTTTCTAGGGATATGTCATTGCACTGCCTGGAATGTTCCACAGTATGACATTAAACAGCTGTACCTTACATTTATTCACTTATAGGTGGTTTTATAGCTCAAAAATACTTAAAAACAGACATTCTGCCTGTGAGTGGGGTCGCCTTTCCACAGATCTGACCTGTAGCTTGGTCTGGTTTGGTCTCCATGAAGATAGAAAGGTTTAATGCCACCATACTGTGAAACATTCCAGACAAAGCAATAAAATCTCTATGGAGGAAAGCATCTGACAGACCCTCCACCAGAAAAGTTACAAAGTGCACCTTTAAGAAGCCTAAACATATTCCATAGATACACAGAATTAACAAATCTTGGCTTGCTCGTACAAAAACATGCATGCTGGATCTGACCCATTGCTGTTAAATTGACATTGTAATGAGCGTGGTCTCTTAGTTCTAGCCTGTAGCCTGTAGTTTTTCTCTTGGAAGAAACCGCCTCGTGCATTGCTAATGTTTCCAGCGGCTCCCAAGGCAGTCTCTGAAATGATTTTTTTTTTAATGCCATGGTTACAGTGGTGGGGCAGGTAAGTGCATGTCTGGAATATGAAGCATGAGTGTGTGTTAGAGAAATGTTCAGAGCTTTGGGATACAAGAGGATCTTCACACTTAAAGGTTACATTACACAAAATTTACTCTTGAGAGCTTTAAGCCGTGTTATACTGCTGTGACCTCCTCAAAAACATACCTGAAGCTGTGTTTTGTTTAATTCACACATGTTTGAGTAATGCTTTATTATTAGTTTGTCCATAAAGCTCAAAATGCACTGTTCCACCTTGTGATGTCATGATGCAGTAGTTTTTAACTTAACAGCTCCTTTTACCTTTAGTTCAGTAGAGATTCATGGTCAAATCAAGAGCAAAAATTCTCCAAATTATACTAGCGAAGGTGTATGGAATTTAAAAACACTTCTTGTATTACACATGACATCACAAGGTGGAACAGAGTGTTTTCTGTTTGAGAGAAGAACTCAGCTGCAGGGTTTGTGTGTTAAACATGTGTGAATGAAACAAAACACAACTCCAGGTGTGTCTGTGATGAGGAAAACAGAGTAATACGGGCTCTTTAACTTCTAAGGTGAAGTGTTCGCTACTTGCTTGTCGCCATGGAGATCTTTGGATTTGTTTGCTTGGAATTTTTCACAGTATGGCTTTAAACATGTCTGCCTTGCATTTGTTCAATTACAGGTGTTTTATAGCTCAAAGATAACTTTAAAAACATGAATTCTTACCATGTGCACATCTTGCTTCTCCATAGATCTGACCATTGTCCCATCTTCACCATGATTACCAAGTTTACTTCCATACTGTGCACCTTTAATTTTAATCTCATTTGCAATGAATTGCGGTGAAATTAAAAAACAAATAAATTCACCTATGTGTTGAGTGAAAAGAGGGTTTGCTTTGTCGTTAATGATTATAATAGCTTTCTTCCTCGTTCCATTTGGCAGTATATAAACAATGTTAAATACACATGATTTCAATTATAAACCACATAATCCCTAACAAAGCATAGTGTAGCCCTTTTTCCTACATAGAAAAGTCATAAAAACCTAAGTGTCTTTCTTTATTGAGTTTCAAATTACAGTAATTACTTGAGAAGTTAAAGTATACTCAATATAAAAGGTATTTAGAACACCTTTTTATTACAATTTAAATGGCCGTATTACTGTATTTTCTGATCTATGCTATAATGTTGTTTCACGGACAAAAGATAAAAAGTAGCTGTTAATTTGGAAACTACCACTTTATGACATCACAAGGTGGAAAAGAGCATTTTGAGCTTTGGAGATGTAGACGAACTAATATTAAAAAGTTACTCAAACATGTGTGAATGAAACAAAACACTCCAGGTATGTTTTTGCTGAGGTAACAACATTATAACATGGCTAAAAGAGTCAGTTTGCACAATATAGGACCTGTAACTCGACCAGGTTAACATTTTGGGCATGTTTTGTAAGTTATTCTAAAGTGTTGTGTTCTGAAGGTGTGACTGTCTGACGTGACGGCTGCTGGACTGGGGATGACTCAGGATGTTATGTGGGTCTGTCTGTGGAGCATGAGTGAGGAGGCTCTGTATTTTGTCTGGAGCAGTTAGATAGCTGATGTTGTTACTCTTGCAAGGGACTTTCTGGGTTTTGTATGTAGTGCTGTGTCTGAGTCTCACACCTGTTATTTGTGTAGTCAGCATGACCCAGGACTTTGGACTGATTTACAGCATTGGAGATCTCCTGATATGATAGGATCATAACTATAGCATTGTTGAAATAGTCCCTGTATTCATATTACAGTGGCCCAGTATTGAGTTTAGACATCAGCACACAGGAGGGTGACACTACTGGTGCTTCTTTGACCACACAGCAGATCTGCACCCTGTCCGGAGAGTCCCATCTCTTCACCTGCCCCTCACCTGCCCCTCACCTGCCCCAGCCTGCCCCCTTTTGTGCGTGTGAGATGCCACACCTTGTCTGTGCCCTCCACAAGCCACCATCAGTCTGCCAATGGTATGCAAATCCTGGCAGTGGGCACAGTGTTGTTCTTTGGGGGCTAACGACTATACTACATGTATTTACACGTGCATGTGTACTCATGTACATTCTGGGCTCACGTATAATGATCCTCGTTGGGAGTGCCCTATGCCAGTCTACAGGCACGCTTAAATCCAGTCAGCGAAGACTGACCCCGACAACCTGGCCCGTATTGGGTCACTATAGGTGTCATCACTAATAATAGGTTGTGTAGAAAAAGTAGTGTTTCTGATATGTTTTGTGGAGTCACTTTCTTGCCTCTCTGGCTCTTAGCCTAAATAGCAGTGGCTCTAATAACCCATAATGGAAGCCTTTGCTTTCGCACGTGTAGACCCAGTTTCTTTGTTTGCCTCCTGCCTCGGCTTAGTGGTCAATTTGAGAGGAATGAGCTCCGGAGTCATTCAGGGAATGTGGAAAAGTGTCTCTGTGTGTCACAGAGTCCTGTTTGGGGGAAGGGCCACTATTAGGTGGACTTGAACTTCTAACTTTAAAAATCTAATAAAATGGACCACCTAGTGAAGCACATACCTGAGCCTGTAGGTAATAGGTACACACAAATGTGCATTGTCTCTAAACAGGTGAGCAGAAGCTCTCTCAATAACCTATGGCTAGTAATGTCTGACCTGAAACCTTCTACAAAAAAACTCAGTAATACAGAAAACACACCAGCCAGGGCACTGCATTTTACTGTATATAGAAGAAAACTCTTGTCCTTCTCAAGGCAGGATGTTTTGCTTACTGTAATTTCTATAACTACTATTAGTATATAATAAATACTATAACACAAAAATATATTTAAAAAAAAATGTTAGCAGTTAGTTGCATTTAAACCTTGAAAGTGCCATAACAACGCCTAGATAGCATGCACATGAAGTCATTTGGTTAACTAAATCATTAACCAATGTAACCTTGTAGTAACCAGTGTTGTAAAAAAGAGTAAGTTCTAAAACAGAGCTCTTGTGCTGCATTGTCGCTGAAGACAAAACAACATGTGTCATTAAACAAATAAGAGAAGAGGTTTTTGGTGGTTAAAGTAGTACAGGTTTTATTAGTTTGCATGGAGTATTTGAAGGTTAAAGCGGGCATAAAGTCTTCGTAGCCTGAGGCCATGGGTGCACACCTGTCTCATACTGAGGCTCCCAGGACCTGGTCCGACCAGTGTGACTTTCACGTTCGCGAGATAATATGATTCTGAGCGCTCTCGCAGACCAGGTGTTCCTCCTCC